AGGCTCGGATCAAAGCTTCAGTAGCATCGTTTTTTTCATGAAGAGCAACAAAAAAGATGGTTTTTTGAAGGAATGGACATTTTACGCATACTTACATATAGGGAAATAAGTACTGGTATGTCTATAGGACTCGCACTTGCAGCAACCTCTCTGCTGGTAAAAACACAGCACACAAAATGTTCAGTGAGATGGAAACATCTTGGGAATCATTTCCAGAGGTCTTTGAACAAGAAGCATAAAGCAAGCTCCTCGGTATCTGCAGGGCTTTTTATGCTTCTCTTTGCCTCTCCTCATAACCTTTCCTAAAACACTTACGGCAAGGGAAAAAAAAAATCCACCCCCAGAGCAATATGTTTTCCTGGAAGAATCTAATGCATCTTTTTGCTCCTAATGAAGTTAATGCAGAGTTTATAATTGACCAAAACTGGAACATGACTGATTCAGCCAATGTCACAAAGTGACACAACCACTGAATATCCTGTTTATTGTTTTTAGTGTATTTTCTCCACTCACTGCCTGACGCTCCATTAAAATTCTTGAGGCCCTACCAAAACGAAATTCTGCCAAACGCTGCCCATTAACAAGCAATTAATATACAAGCTTTAAAGTACAAGGTTGCTCATGCCATCCCACAGAAAATATTCTTTGCCTGCTATTTCTCACCGGAGCCATTTTCTGACAGAACGCTCCATCTCTGCCAGGGATTTCAAAGAAGCAGACCATAATTCTCAAGAAGAGTAAAGTCTGTACATGTTTGCTCTCAGCATACTTGGATTGATTAAACTTTAATCTTAAAGGCTGTTTTCTAGCCCACTTAACAACTGATGTAGTAACAGAAATGACACCATTAGTTGTACGGCATCTGCCAGCAATCGGAACAGAGTAACAAGGCCACTCGGTATCCACTGCAAACGCGGAGCTTGTAGCATCGGGACTTAAAGCAGTAACTCTCCCCAAAACAAACAGTCCCCCCACTTCTGAACAGAGCAGTTCACTTCAGGCTTGCACCATCATCATCATCATCATCRTGTGTCTGGGCCTGCTGCACGCAGCAACGCAGCCCTGACTCAGGGCTTCCCTGCATCCACAGCTCTCCCAAGAAATGGTGCCGAGATGAAACCGCTCTTGAAGCGATTCTGCTTCACACCTGACCCCTCCAAAGGCAGCGAGGGTGCAAGAGGTCGACATGCTTCTGTATTTCAGGATACCAGCTCTAATAGCTACTTGCATAACACTGATCAGGGAATGTTTTTTCTTTAACCAGAGGACAGACTCAGACTCTGAAAGATTCCTAATCTGCTGCAGGGCTCACACCAATATGGGCTGGCTGGAGCTTGGGACATCATCTTTGCAAAGCGGACATTAACCTGCTCAGCAAAACCCAGAAGAAAGGCTAAAACACAAAACCCCATCAAAAGGACATAACTGCAGCTCCACATTCCTCGGAGGACAAAGGATTGTTGCGGTTTGCAAAGTAAAATACAGCTTATAACTGGCTTCACCAAATTATGTGTTTTGCCTGGTAAAAAATAGTTACAGACCAGAGGTAATTACTAGGCCATATCTAGGAGTCCGAGAATGTTGGAGCTCCTCCAGGTACATAACTCAGACCTGCCAAATATCACTCATTTCAACTGAAGCATATACATTTTTGGCTTTAATTAGCAACACTCTCCCTCCTCAAAAAAAAAAAAAAAACAAACTTTTACTTCCTCAATCCTGCATTGCTACTATCAAACTGTCTCAGTCAATGACCTTAATCCTGTTAGGGGACATGCAGCTGACAAACAGAGACTATTTCTGACAACTTCACTCTTTGCGAGGGGCCTCTGCACATAYACCTCGCCCACCGGCCTGTTTTTAGTAGCAAAAGCTTCCAAAAGGGCACAGAAAGCAAAAAAGCCCCAAAAGCACAGACAGCTTCCCTCTCTGGTCTCCTGTTCTTGCTCCTAGCAGCAGTCATGTAACAAGTCTGTGGAGCTGTGTCTTACCCTGAGACCGCAGCATTAGCTATTGGTGACCAATGGGTCCAGTCTCTATTAGTTTACAGTCCCTTCTTTGGTCTATCTAGGCTTCTGAGCAGTCCCATGCTTTAATTAATGGCTCGTTTCATTAGTTTATTCACTGAAATAGCAGAACTCTTGTGACAAAATTCAGTGGATCAAACTGATTCTTTCCAATTAACTTCATGCCACATTATCTCAAATCCTTAATTCTTATATTACAATGAAATATGTTTTTAAAACATTTCCTTCATGCTTCTTTTCTTACTCTTAAGCTTAGTATAATGACAGTATCAAGATGCAGTTATGGTTTTAGCCAACAAGACTTTTTTTTAAGTGTCCCTAGCATGAACTGCTGTTCAACTTTGTATTCATCCTCAGCATTTGTGAACTCAATCCATTCTCTTTTGTATTTACACTTCAGTTTTCATGCAAGAGGATCCATCTTTGGAACACAATAAGCAAGCTGCAATCCTCTTAGAGTGTATCAATCCCCAGATGGTGAAAAAAATGAAACCAGATCTTTACGTGCAGATCTAGCTTCTAAAAGAGCCCCCTTAGGCACTGTGGAGGCCTGTAAAAAGCYTGAGCATAAATACCGTGATAGTCTGATTTGCCCTGTTCTCAGCTTTGCTCAAGTTCCTGTGGTGAGTATGTAGTAATTTGGAAAATATCACTGACCACTGAAGTAGAGAAATAACCCGAATTCATCTGTGGCTCTCTGTGGAGTCAGGTGAGATTTGCTGCTCTGATGGCAGAGCTTTTATACTGCTTTGATAGCGCTTCACAATGCAAAGTTACAACTGCATACAAGGCATTCTTTACAGCTTGCTTAAGACACCCTTGCAAACAAGGTCATCATCAGYATCCTACTATGACATTTTCAACACATGTCATTCCAAAAGGACTGATAAGGCTAAGACCTTCCCATCTCCATAGCCCTGAGCTGGATTTGACAGTTTATTCCTAAAATAAAACTGCACAAAAGAAGAAAGCCAAGTGCTGAGAACCGTTCGATACTRCTCACTCAGGGGCATGTGCCACATATTTGGCCACACAAGAGCTCTAAAAGCATCTTAGCGAAATGAAAGCTTCCTCTCAGGGCATATTCCTGAATACATGCACTGCAGGACACCGATTTTATCATGGAATCCCCAGTTTATACATGTTACACATTTGAGATGCTCTCATTACGATACTAAGCTCCAACAAATCACACACACGCACAAAGAGAGATATAATGCAGAACACATAGACAACATGTAAATGCAAAGATTCATGAGTGGGATAATGTAAGCTACAACTGCAACCTCAGGCATGTTGTTTATATAAAGAAATAACAACTTTAAATCATATGGGCAACGCCAGTTGGCTTCCATCCGCTAGGTCTTTGCCTTTGTTGCTTGCTCCACGTTAACTGCTACTTCAGCAAGAGTCAAGAGAGGAAAAAAAATGATAAAGAGGATAAAAAGAAGAAAAAAAAAAAAGAGGGAAAAGTGAAATGATAAAGAGCAGAAAAATGAATAAATAACATTTTTTTTTTAAAGTAGAGAAAACCCCAAAACCTAAAACTTAAAAGGAAGCAAAAGAACAAACTACATCCATAATGGATCACCAAAAACCCTTGTCTGACAGTTTGATCTCATTGCAAAAAGAAGGGACCCTTCCCTCAGCCCTATATAAAGATGTACTTTACATGCCCACCCCRAGCAGATGTTGCTCCCAGATCCCTGCTGCTTGTGCACTGTAGATTACGGGCCAGATTTACAATAGTATTTGGGGATTTAAGCATATTACTGCATGTCACAAAGGATTCGCAGAAATGCCAAACAAGGTTGCACCTCTTATTTAGGTTATATTACAATAGCTGTTGGAGAGTCTCATGAGGTTGTTGCTTATAACTTCTTTTACTTTTGTGTTTTTCCGGAATGCACGTAACAGCACTGGCACCAAAAGCCAAATAATGAGGGCAGTAAAATAAAAATATTTATATATATACACACACATAGCCATAACTGACACAAGGAAGACATTGCTGGCGCTCCGAAACCCAATATCCCCCAGCAATATTCCCTGGTGCTCTAATTAGCATTTTTCAGCCTTACAGATTGCTTTATTTTCCCTATTTCCTGGAAGTGATTGAACGGCCAGCAAAACCCATTAGAACAACCCTCGTGGCCCGACTACAACAAACAAGGAAATTCCAAATTAAAACACACCACCGAGGGCTGGAAACGTGACAATATTAAAAGCAGCAGGGGTGAACCAAGGGCGAAGTCAAGGCTTTAAGCACAACCTTGCTTTGCTGACATCTGTTTCACCCTTTTCATCTTTTTGCCCTGGCTAGCAAGATAGAAAGAAAGATGAAATGTTTAGACAGACACTATCGGGCTGGACCAGTGACCGACCTGCATGTCATCATGCAATACAAATCCCAACCTCTTTCTATGAGGGAAAATAACACGATAGGCACCTAACTTGAAGGAGACGAGCAGCACCAGGCCTGTTCCAAGCTTGGTGCTCAAGTGAATTCGTGGACCTGTCTGAGGGCTGAAGATGAGGAAAACCAGCAGATCTACCCCAAAAATGGGGGTTTAGGATGAACAGCACCTAACTTTGCGGTAAACCCTCCACAAGCAAGSAGCAATAATGACAGAGAACAGTAATAATAAATAAACAAAGAGGAATTGCCCAAGGTGGTGGCCGAAGGCGGCAGCGCCTCAGAGCGCCCACTCACGGAGGCGGCAACGGCGCCCCGCCCCTGCCGCCTCAGAGCGCCCGCTCACGGAGGCGGCAACGGCGCCCCGCCCCTGCGAACGGGCGCGGTTGCCGCGGCAACCAACGGTCGCCCGCGCGTGAGGGAAACGCGAGCTGCGCCGCGCTCCCGCCGCCGCCCCGGCCGGAGGCGCCGCCGCCATCTCCCACCTTCCCCTTCCCGGCGGCCGCACCACGGGCAAGGGGCGGCGAGGAGGACGAGGGCGGCGAGGGTGGCGGTACCCGCTCGCTCACAGTGCCTTTTCCCGGGGAAATAACCTCGGCCAGGTAACTCCTCCCTTCCCTCCCCCCCCTATCCCGCCCAAGCTGTGGTAACAGATGGCTGCGATTAACGAGCGTGATTAACGCGAGCAGGACGGGCAGGTGATGGTTTGTGTGGCCTCGCTGTGCTCCTGTGACAGCTTAAGTGGACATGAGTGTCACCACACCCTCAAGCACATCTTCTCCCGCCCCATGTTTTGTGCAGAATCATCTATTTAAGCCAGGGGGTTTAGCAGACCCTAATGTCAGGCCTCAGGAGCTAAGTTTGCCTCACAGAGAGGAAAGTGGGGAGCCAGAGACATTGGTAACATCAGGGAGGTGAGCATGCCACAGAGGGAGAAAACCTCCCTGCTGCCCTTCAACCACAGGGGAAAAAGGGGGTTAGAAGCCTGACCTTAATCGTACGAAGCAGACAGATTAGCCAGACAGCAGCGAAGAGGAGCTGGGCTGTGTCCTCATATTCAGCATCATCCCAGCCTGCGCCATGCCATCATTTTTAGCCAATTTCTGATAGCAAAGGCAAATAATCCTAAGAAGGCATTTTAACCCCATGTGTCCCAAAGGGTCAAGTGTAGGTTAAGATCTTGCTCAGTTGGGTGGCAGAGCAGATGATACTCTGCAACACGAGCTTTGAACTGTGTTAATACAAAGCTGCGTTACCAGCCTATCGATTGCAGCTGCTGGCAGTATCAGTGTCCCCCTGACATCCRTGAGGGAAAGAGGTGAAAGGAAAACTCACAGATCCACATCACCTAAGAGCAGGAAGGTCTATGAAAACCATCCAGCCCAGTCAATCTCCTCACATTCATAGACAGGATGATTTATCTCAGGGGCTGGCTACAGCATATCTTTTAAGTGGATAACTTATTTTAAATATTTTCAGGTGATGGTGAGTTCATCTCTTGTTAAGTGGTTGCCCTGCTCTGTTGTCCTCAACACCAGGTAACTGGGTGATTTTGGTTGTTCTAAAACTTTACTGTCCAATTTGTTCCTCTTATGTCACTGTTGTTGCAAAGCCATTTGCTATTAGCTGCCTTTTCAAGGTGTGTGCAGCAATCAAGTCACCTCTTAACCTGCTTTTCAATTAAGCTTAATAAGTTAAGCTCCTTAACCATTGCATCATTAACACTTGTTTTCCAAGACTTGGATCATTTTTGTGGCCCTGCTATGAACTCCGCTTAGCATTTCCATATGCTTGTTTAAGGGAAGGGATCAAAACTACACACAATATCCTGCTTGCTTATCTCGCCTACTCATTGCAGAAGCAAAAGAGAAGGAGGAAACTTCTTGACAGTAGAGTTTCAGATGCCCAAGCTTTTATGAGAGGGTAAAGAAAAAAAAATCAGTAGTGCATTTCATTTCTTTTCAACCTGCAGTAGGCAGAGAAGAACCTCCTTCAAGTAATCCATAATCATTTGAGGGAGAGAAAATGATCTGTGTTCTCTTCTGTTGAAGAGAATAGAACTAACTGCAGAACTAACATTATATATTTTCAGCACAGCTACTAAATGGGATACATTTGCAATTAGCCAGTAGGATTTTTACATTTTGGAAATACATCTTCCTTTCTCTTTATAGTTATTAAAATCATTGATTGTATGTAAACATTAATCTGGTGGAAAACACTGAATTTTCTTCTCAACTATTGAGGATGTAAGATATGATCAGCATTAGGGGAATTCTGTCCTTGCTGTCTTACCAGCATGATATAAAAAGTAAAGAGCCAGGTCATTTTTCACGAAAATGCGAATTAAGTGAGGCTGTTTCCTGAGATTGCCAACAAAGACCAATTTATGCTGTGTATAGAGGGGTATATTGTTTGTCTGCTGGTAATTAAATTACATATTTCCAGTTTCACATTGGTCTTTTATATGGGTGACATTACAGTCTATTGCTTGTGAACAGCGAGAGTACAAATGTGTATACAAGGCTTTTTAGAAAACAGAAATCCTGAGTGCAACACTTGAATAGGTTGTGGTATATGAGGTCCCCACAGACTGTTTGTGAGCACTTTGTACTATAAAACAGCAAGAATTAACAAGAGTAATTACATAACCGTAAGTCCTGCTCTGTGAAAGACATGTAATGATCCAGTTTTGACCCTTTTTAAATCTTATTTGGCCATCTCTTTGACAATAAGTAGCTTTATATTCATTAACAATCCCTGATAATCTTTGAGTCTGCACAATATTTTCAAACATCAAATTGTTGGCTTACCTCTTTAGTTGGTGCTATCTGACCAAGGCTCTTTTTCCTTTACCCCTCTTTAACAGCTGCAACAAGAGAAGCAGTTCAAGGTGGTTGTTAACAAACACTTCATTATTGCTTTCTTAATTTCTTTAGTCATTTATAGTAGATGTTTTCTAAATGCCTTATCAGAACAGCTGTTTTGTATCTGAGAAAATTTGATTTGGACATGTACAGATTTCTATGATTCCTTCAAAAATGTTGTCGTGGTACTTACAGACATAACTACATTGTGATCAACAGTCTATGAGTTTTTCCTCATGGTACTTCTGATTTATCTTCTTAATTCTCCCTGAATGTAATTCACATCATCTTTGGTGCATGAAACACATCTATTTTTACAGACCAGTCAGCATGTTTTCTTCATAAATTTGCATACTGCTCCTTTGATCACGCTGGTATGGCTTTCTCCTCATTATATCTCTTGTTTCAAATTTAGTTAAATACAAGTAATTAAGTTTCTGGATATGTTCATGAAGTAACATGGTACAGTGCGTAACAAATCTGGGGATAAGACTCTTTCCTCGTGACTCTCAGCAATTTGCTTGTAACCTTCAGCAAGTGACTACATCTTTTTGTGGTCTCTCTGTTCTTTTTCTTACTTAAATTATTTTTCATTCTGTATATCAGCTGGCACAGTAGAGCTCCAACTTCAGGTTGGTTCCTGAGGTGCCAGTATAGAGTAGCTGCCCACCCCTTTAGCACTGGGCATGACTTTGAAGGGGTTGATAAGGCTCTGTATCACTATAAAAAGTGAACAGGTGTACAGACAGCCTCTAAGCATATGGAAGTAGATTATCTCTTTAAAATGCAGCTCCAAATAAAGGACAAAATAGACTGGCATTATGGTGACTAGATTTTTTTAATTAGAAAAAGAATGCTTTTGTATTAGCACTGTTAAAAATCCCCAAATGAAATCAGACATATTAGCTGATCTAGTGGTTTTGTGCAGATGAAATCATGATATGAAGTCACAAAGTGGCTAAGCAATTTTTCTGTGTACTCCAAAAAACCATGGAGAATATGTCTTATAGGTATCTGCCCTCTGCTTCCCCACCCTTCCCTATGGGCAAGAACATGGTTTTATTTTGCATATATTGAGTCATCCAGTTATTGTACTTCCCTTGTAATGCCATTCTCAGACATGTTAAGACAAGATTTAGCCTTCAGTAATAGCTGGCATAAAAACACATATTCCTTATACAACAAAGATTAAACCAAACAACAAATCCTTGTGTTGGAACAACACTATATCTTGTTAAAGCAATCTTTATATCCATTAAAACAGTCTGTGATGTTGAATACCAGGACATTTTTATCATTCTAAGAAGAAAAAGACTGCAAATGAGTGAAGATGAAAAAGTGCGGTTAACCCATATAGCTGTAACTCTGTAACTCACGCAAACTTCCCTTAAAGGCAGCTCCATCCATCCTCAGGCAGTCTCTGCAGCTCTTCTCCTAAAAAGCTTATGTTTTTCTTGTGAGGCTGAAGACCTCAATGTTTCTTTGCTTATATAAACAAGGCAGGTAAAGTAAAAAAGGTATCAACAACTATTTATAATTAGAAGCAATAKTATAACAGGATTATAAACATGTCTTATGTTTTGTCTTGTTTCTAAATGAAGCCCAACTTCCACAGAGAAAATAAGTAAAAGCATTTTCTTTACTGAAATGTAATGCATTACTGTAAGAGCACAAGCAGAACCAGCAAATGATTACTGATACCTTTAGTTACAAGTAAGATCTTGGAGTAGCATCTCAATAGCCCTGCTTCCCTGTTGATGAATAGASCCAGTTCATTTAAGTTAATACATAATTCTGGAACTACAGGGTTTGTAACTAGCAAGACAAAGTTCAATTTGCCACCAATAGCAAGGCAGAATTAAAATTGATTCTCCTTACAGATAATAAGAAAAAAATAACATACTTGCTTTTTGTACAGGCTTTGATTGACTAGTGCGATGGATGAAGCACAGGAAAGGCTGAAGTTCATCAGCAGTGCTCAGTATGTAAGGGAAATGCCAAACAAAATGGATTCACAGCATGAGGTATGCCAGAAAGCAATACATAAAACCAAGGCATGGTCACGGTCCACGTTGAAGGTTGTTTTCGTTTGGCTACGCTAACAGTCTGAGAGTAGTTCTTCTAAAACGTCTATTTCTAAATCATGAAATGTTTCATTGTTTTACAAAGTCATACATTAGAAAAGTCATACATCTATATTTTCATTAGCATCTTTGTTCTACCCAGAACTGGCCTTATTTTACACTGGCATTAATTACATGCTGATACTATAATAGATGCATTAAAGCAGCATTTCTTTGTCATATTTGCTCACTGCATTATCACAAGTGTATTATCTGCTCCTATTCTTAAATTTCGCTATAATTTAGGAGCTTTTCTAAGGACTAGGCCCCAGTAGCCCACTTGCTGTTTAAATACAGTAAAAGCCTGTGACTACTCCTAATTGCTTACTAAGCAATGACAGCTATTCAAGAGAGCATCTGGAGCCTCTTCTGCTTCATGCATCATCAAAATAATTCTCAGCTAAATTCTGAATGCTAGTCTTTATTACTAGCAATTATGTAAGAGGCAGAGAGATCACATTATGAATTGCAGAGCCAAGATGAAATTTGTAAAGATGGCAGTTAAATCATCTGTTGATTGGCAGATCGGGGCAGTTTCCTATGGAATCACTGAAAGTAAATTTAGAATGCTGCAAAGCCACTTATATGGATAGTTCATCGACTTGTCACATTTTAATAGATTTTTAGACTACCTAAAATGGAAAGCTAAAGCAATAAAGGAAACATCCAGAAAGATTGCTGGAATATAATACTGCTGTGCTGAAACAAAAAGCATGTTTGCAGCTGCTATCTAACTGTCAATAATTTAAATGCCTAAAGGGGAGGGAAAAGCAAGCAGTGTCTGGACTTTGGTTAAAAACAGCACACTGGGACCGAGTACACAGTTTCTGTCAGAAGGCCTTTTACAAGTAAAGGTTGCAAGAGTTAGCATTTCTTGAAGATGGTAGATCAAATTAGAAGTGTTTCATTAAATTCAACCACTAACTAAATGCTACAAGGGCAAGCTTATAAACACCTCCACTAGAAACAAGTAGTTAGCAACTAAAGCATTTGTATGGAGGGGAAATAAATTCAGTTCTCCTACATCCTGAGCAGCAATATGTGCTATTATTTAAAAAGATGGCACGTTGTCTCCRTGCCTTCCTGCATTGCAGGAGGAAGTGTGGAAGGAGTTCTAGGAGAGGGCTTAAGGGTATAAACTGTAGTGAATTGAACGTGGAAAAATTCTATGCCTTCTACCACTGTGAAACCATTTCCCTTACATGGTTGAGTGTTTTCAAATCAGGTCATTACATTTAGGTCAGAGTCATTCCCTAATGTGCACATTGTTGGCAAATGCAGATGATCTAACTTTGACTTGGCTGGATTCAGGCTTACCAATGCTACAAAGCAAAGCAATCTTCCTTGAACTTACCAAACACTCAAACATGTATGTGGTGAATACCTAGGCTGCGTGTGCATGCCTATCCCATGCACTCTCTTGCAAGTGACAGTGCTTTTGTAAAATAGTTGTGTTAGGTTTTTTATGTGTATTTCTAATAGCAACTTGAATACACTGTTTACTTACACCCCTCACTTCTATTTTGGTATTATTAGATTGCCCTCATCAGTGTGTTAGGTGAACAAAATAATAAAAAATTGCCTTTTCTGCCCTGTGCTTTCTTTCATCATATTTCCAGTGAAAGAATTATATACTTTATGATTTGTTTTGGTTTTACCTCCTTCCACTCTCCCAGACCTCCTATAGTGGTAAAGGTACGTAGCAGAGAAGACCAAGATAAAAAATGTAAATATTAATGTTAATCAGAAAGTCAGCCAAAGGTCTGTAGTGGGCAGTAGCCAGCTGAAAGTTCATTGCATCCTCTTAGACTGGTCTCTGGGTAACTGTGGYTTATACCTTCAACAAGCAGTAATGCAGCTCAGAAGGAGTGGATTTACAGAGTAAGAGAGCTGATGACAAGGATTTGACATCCACACCAAAGGCATTTTTAGAGTTTTTACTTGGTGCTCATCTGTTCATGTGGAACGTATCTTCCACTTAACTTTCATCTAAAAGGAGTTAACACTTTCTGCTCTTCCAGACTACTTCACAATAAATGAAAACTACTGAGTTGCCTCAAAAGTATAAATCTTAAYTTGAACTAGACTGCATCTGGTAGGTGCCTTTAAAAAAAAGAAAGATTTTTATGTACTGAGTTAGATCAGTATCAGTTAGATACTGACTGTATCTAACTGCAAGGTGATAACCTGTCCCTGAGGCAGAGATTCTTTTATTAACAGACAATTACAAAGTGAACTTAGGAGAAACAATTTTCTAGAAAATGGAAGAACGATCCAAAGTGATGTGATAGTTGGCAAGTTTCACAAGAGTCATACCAGATAACCCCTCAAATACACAGGCATTTTATTTCAATATACCAGAGGATTTTTGTGCCAAGATATATACTTGGCTTCTGCATATTTCATGCATTATAGTATATAGTAACTGTCTTTCATTGAAAAGCTGCATGAATGTAAAAAAGTTTACCCTACAGATATTGCTGTTTATCTGACATTGGAACTGTTTGGTGAGGGTTTGGGTTGTTTTACATTATTTAACACATATTTCCTTAAGAAACAGATTTTTTTATTATTATTTACTGAGCTTTCTTCTAGTTATTGAGTTAAATCAGTAGCTTGGAAATGAACAGACTATCTACAGGTTTATCATTTCATTACTAAGCAAAGCTTTACCATTCTCTTTCAGTGTTTGTCACAACATTTATTCTGCTCTTTCAAAAGTGAAAGGAAGCCATTTTGTACACTGCTGAGTGAATTTATACATTCAAACCAAAAGACGGATTAATTCAGTCTTTCAGTTGTCCTCAGATTTACTTCCCTGGATTTCTCTGTGATATGGCTAATACATATGTTTCCACTAAACCAGATAGCCCATACCTCTGCCTTAATTTTCCATCCTCCTCCTACTGTGATTTTGTTGGGCTTTCTGGGCACTGCAGTTTTCCTGTGGGGAAAAAGAAATAGCTTTCTAATTTATTTTAGATGAAGCAGTAACAGAGACTTAAAGAATTGTGAACAACAGCTCCCTCTAGTTTTTGTACAGCTCTGTTTCCAACAGTTTAAGACCCCTACCTAAATAGGATATTGAAACAAAAAAAAAAAAAAATCTCTTCCTAACGCAAAGATTGATCTTGATGTCTCAGTTCTATGTTTTGAAATACCACATTTATAATTATCCCAGATTGAAAGCCAAATGGAATTAAAACAGTGGAACTAAGTTAAAATGGACTGTGAGATTAGACAATTATACACACTATGATCTCAGCTTAAATAAACATTGAGAATATCTGGGTAAAAAGAAAGGAAATTACAATGCCTTTGAGAAAAGAATCTTAATCATCTTAAAATGAATAATGTGGCCCTTCTTATTTCCTAATCTGTGGATATAGAGCAGTTCCCCATCTTGACTGAAGCTTACAACGCAAGCTAGCAAATGAGCATATGTAGCTTTTTTGTTGTTGTTCCTACACTGCTCCTTATTTGCACCATATGCTAAAGTAAATTACACTGCACTTCAGTGACCATTCTAGCATACAGCCCTATCGTTGGAGGCTTTGAAATAGCATGTACGCTTTGCAGACCTGCAGCCCCATAACAGAACAACAAGCAACAGGGAGCATCGGGAGGAGTCGAGTATATTTAACTAGAAGAGTGAAGCTATGGTAGAGGATACTAAAGCCATTTGCTCAATAAAGTATTCCCAGAATGAAAAGAAAACAATTTATTATTAATCAAAATATTAAGAAAATTGGACTCACCAACTGTCACTAAGATAGCAAGATATAAATTCTATAAAATTAAAATATTTGACTACCCTAGATTCTGCTTTTGTAACAATACCATGTTTTACTCCTTTCTGCTGCAGTATTTTTTCACTTTAAACTTCTAATGTGAAGTTTGCAAGATGTGTTATATCAGCATTTTCTGAATGCAAACTAGAAACAGTTTGCTAATTTGGTTGACAAAATATTTTCTGCTTCTGGTTGAAATGTTGATGTGATACCAACAAATAGCACAACACATTGAACATACAATTGTGATGCAGCTCAATGGAATAATCTTCATTAAAATATGCAACTTACTATAGAAAACAGATTCAGGAGGGTACTTGGCAGTATCAGTTCAGGTAGATCTTAGAAGAGGGTACTTCAGAGATTTAATAATATTATATTTCAGTGACTGTCTAACATTTATCACCATTTTGACTATGGCTGAGCGTTTCCCAAGATGTTTCTCTGCACTTATTAAATTTAATCTCAGCTAATCTGCTAGCATTTCAGCTATATCATTAGACATTTGCCCCCGCTCCACAGACGTTTTCCTTCTTTCTTTCTAGAGAAGGTTCAGCAATCTTTTCTTTATACTATGCAAGAGGAGGATTATGTTTATACAGAATTTGCCAGATTGTGAGTAATGTATATGTTGGTACACGCTAAAGCTCTTTGACTCTATCTCCATATATGTAAACAAACCCCCAAATCCTCCTCTTAAAGGTTCTATTGCAACTTTATTAAAGATCTCTGAAAGATGAGAAAGGAATCCTTCACTGCCCTTAGAATCGAGGGTGTCAATATAGTCCTTGCATCTGAGGCATCTTAATACTCCTCTTCCCACACACAGATAAGTGTAATAGTAAAAGTGTCTTTTTCTTTACAATTTTTTTAAACTCATGCTCACTCAGTGAATGTAGACTTAACCATTTACTAGTGCCCTGCATGGACTTTCTTGATCTGTAAGAGRAAAGGAGTTTAGGAATTCACTATAGATTAGGGTTAGTATATATAAGTATAGGTAAGTGTACTTACCTTGGAGAACATTGGCTTACTATCCACATAGAAACTTCTGACACTAGATTTCTCTTAGGTGTTGCTTTACAGCAATGCAGATAAATACCATGCTTATCAAGCAGGGAAGTGTAATCAAGTAGGAACTGATAAGTATTTATAGAACTCCACTAATAAGCCTTTGTTTCAAAAAAGTGAGGTGCTGCTTTCAGCTTTTCCCTTTATGCAGAGATAGTAAGCCAGAGTGTGTGAACTTGCTAGTCCGTAATTGGGATAGAAAGTTCAGTGCRCCTGCAAATGTATTACAAATTTATTTCGTTTTTGATTAACATAGCCTTTTTTTAAAAAAAAGCTCCTTTAAGGAGGGAATTATTTTGTCCCACAGCTTGTTAGATTTTTATGCTAAACCATGTAAACATTGTTGGAACATATTAACTTGAAAATTAGTTTTCCATTCTTGAGCACTCTGTATTTGTATTCTTATTTAAACATCCCTTAACATAAAAAAGTCATTATGTTTTATTTCATTACAAGGAGTTTTAAAGATTGGTATTCATTTCTGAGTGCTAGTGAGAAAGGGATAGTTATAACTGAAAACCGCTAACATCATAATGACAAAGGTCATGCCTGTTCCCTGAAAGACACAAGGCAGAGTTGTTTTGTGGAACAGGAGCATATGAAGCATTTTGTAATTGAACCACCATGACTTGGTTTGAATGGCTTACATTGTAGTTCCTCTGATGGCATTAACATGCAAAAGGTCATGAGTTCAAATTAGACTTGCAAGTTACCAAATCTAATAAAATTAGCAGGAAGCATTCACTCATATTTCTTTTATGCCACAATTTTACTTTTCTAGAGCATAGAGTCACAGTCCTACTGTGATTGAACACAGCTTACAGCTTTATTCTTGCAATGGTGGTAGTACTCTGGCAAGTTATCTGTGAGATAGATTTTTAACAAAAGGCTCCAGTTTGTCTAGGGAAGATTCCCATCCTCTGAAMAAGAACTTCACATAAAATTGATTCTCTTCCCTCCCCCCCCCCCCCCCCAAAAAAAAAGCCCCAAACTACTATGTAATCTGGAAATACCTGACTTCAGTTCATACTATACAGTTAGGAGGGAGATCAGTGTGAAAAGAGGAAGAAGAGAAAAAGGTCTTTCTATTTATGGAAAGTGCATTTCTTTGTTCCTTGTACTTAAAAGATTTACTGCTTAATTTGTACTGCTTTTCCCCCCACAGCTCCCCTTTCCCAYCCCCCTCAGAGGAGATGATGCTCAGGCACCTCTTTTACTTTTCTAGACCTCTGTAAGTGAATGTTCTGGAAGTGAACAGAAATCTGCCATCAAATCTACTGGGAATAAACGAGGCTTTAAGTTTCCTATTTTAGACAAGATATCAGTCAAGCAAAAGCTGAAACCCAACCTAAGCTTTAAAAAAGTAGAGAAAGATGTACTWGACCCAAATAAAGTCACTGCAGGTGAGTACTGGATACACGAATTTGAGTCTTGCCTGACATTAGAAATAGCAGGCTGGCTGCATGCAGTTTCATTATCATTATACTACTGCAGTGAGCACATCTGTTTTATTTTCTTTATATAAATAGCCTCTTTTAATAACACAGTAGTTCCAAAGTAAAATCTATGCCTGTATTTTGGGGTCATTTTTAAACTGAAAAATAGGAGCAAGTATATAGTTCTGGGTATAATTCCCATCCAAATTTTGTCTTACTGAATCGTGTGAAATAATTTGCAGGCATTGGTCAGAACTGAAGAACTGAACAAATGGCAGAATAGGTAGACATGCCCTTTAGTGAGTTGTGGAACATGAGATCAAAGGCCAGAGGTAAAGTACAGGTTCTAACTGCTCCCTACAGGGTTCAGGCAAAGTTTTGCAGTCGTGTTCACTAGGCTTTAATAAGAACAGAATCAAGTCCATACTACATGAAACTTAGTAATTGGTTGAGATAAGAAAGGTAATTTAAAATGAATTACTTGGATTTAAATTACAAAAAAAGTTGGTTTTAATTTTTATCTTAGTTAAACTAAAAAATAAACTAACCCCTCCATAACTTAAATAGCAGCAATTAAGCAAGTTCCAGCCTAACAATGCATATGAGTAAATTCTCAGAATACAATATGAAGTTTGCCAGGATTAGCTCATCAGTTTATTGTTGCAGTGAAGTCAGTTAGTATGTATGCCAGCAAGTTGCTTTTTCAAGTGATAATCATTTTTAAGCACAAAGCTCAAAATATTTATACAACAAAGATTCTTCACTAAATATCATAGCAGATGGATAGTTTTGCTTCTTCAGGGGGATTATGGGAATGCGGCTACATCTCTAAAGACAAAAGAGCAGGCCCATAAGAGAAATAGATTTGCAGGAATGACTGTCTTGGCAGTTTCATATCATTGCAGAAATAGCTTACATAAACAGAAAACTATTTTGATATTGTTCTTGATGGGGATAATTACACTCAGGGCTCTACACAATAATGCCCTTGAAAATGCAAGATAGTTGTGCTAACTTTTTTTAGAGAGGAAATAGGTCCTTCRCTAGTTTTGATTTATTGCATCTTTGCACTCTACTAATTCAACAAACATTATTCATCAGAAATAAGTATTTTAAAATCAAGGATAAATTCACCCACTTTGCATTCTTGTAGGTTTGAGGTAATTCCACTTACATCAGCATTATATCTCTCTAGTTTAATTTATAATAGAAAATAGGCCTCAGGTATTTGAGGAGAAAGAGTCAAAATTAACAAATGCCCTGATCTTGTAACTGAGTAAGGACGAAAATCTTACTTCCATTCAAAGCTTCACTTAAATCAATAAGGAGTYCCCAGAGTAAAGGGCTGCCTTGATTTAGGCAGTCATTTGCAGCGTAGAATCAGTCTTTTTTTTTTCCCCCCCTTCCTTCGTAGCCATGGATAGAAGGAGAGAAAGGAGAGCAAGAAAGAGAAAGCATTCAGTGCTTATAAATAAAGCAAAAGTCAAATATGATTGTGGGCTAACAAGTCATTTTTATGTATGTAGCTTGTTTTATCTGTAGAGAGAAAACCCCTAACTTTCCTTTTTATCAAAAATGTGCTATTCAAAGGAAAGTTTATCCTAAACCCTTCCTATCCCAGTGGCCTGTCTGTACTCTTCATATTGCATTAGACTAGGGATATTGTCCCTCACTTCCCCATGCCATTACTGCTATCTTTTATCTCCATACTTTATTTATCCTTAACACACACASAGGCACCCTTGCCTGATTATTTCAGGTACTTAGCTGCTCCCCTACCCCCTGCTTTTTTCCAACTACACCATTTAAATGAGTTTATCTTTACAGCATTCCTACGGGGTTGATTATTCCCATTTCAGTGAGAAGCTAAGGCACAGCAAGCAATTTGTGTAGGGTAAATTTTAGCAGAGCTGAAAAACTGAACCCAGTATCTTATCTCCCACACAAGGGTCCTGACTACTGATTATATTTTCCATTCAGAATTTGTTTGAGGCTAGGACAGCTCTGTCTGTGCTAGGCCCATGGGCAAAAAGTGAACTGTGAAAAAATAATACAGCACTAGACATTTTTCTTGCTTTGTTGTTATCATCTTGGAGTTAGCACTTTCATTGACTCAGGAACTCTCTGATTGCTATCTAGAAAACAAATACTTTGTTTTGAAGGAGAGAGAAGGAGAAAAAGTTTAAAGATTTTACAGCACAAGGCAGCCCAACCAAGAGATTCCAGAAGGAAGATTGCCTGTCACTTGATGATTATTGGTGTGGTACCTCAGTGGTATTCCGCACAGCATACGTAGATGGGTTTTGCCACCGTCTTCCTTACATGTTAGCTCAGCTAGAGCTGATTCTGCCCTAAAATCCTTACACAAGCACCAGCTAACAAATCAGTCAAGCTGCTACAGCGAAAGATTTATTGTAAGCTGGTTCACCTTTCAGAAACTAAACTACATCAAGCAAAGTCCTTAGTAGAACGTACAGTTGTTGAGAATGCAGGGCCTTAGGGCCTGTCTTAATTTATATATGAGCACTTCCATTCACAGGGGGTTAGTCATGGCCTTTTCAAAGCTTTTTTTATTTGGTAAGGGTCAACTGATGACTCTTCCCTACCCTTTTGATCTGTTTTGAACTATGAGTACCTTCTCTCAGCACCTCCTCAGGCTTCCCCGAGCTGAAGAATGGAAACAATTCTTAGATTTATGGCCAGCCAACTGCATTCCTGCACTAGACAAGAAAACAAGACTCCCTCTCATCTCACGAGGCTTGTCAGATTTCCTATTGATTTGCATGGCATGCTTTATAAGATAATAATTAGAATCTCTAAAACTTTTTTTTTAATCATAACATATGGTTTTGTATGTAAATGTTAACACGCAGTTCTTTTGGAGGCTGCCCTTGAGGCTTATAACAAACACCAGGCCACCCCCAGAGTGCTTGCTAAAAATCAACTCTGCTTCACATTCAAACTGGGACAGATTAAAGTGCTCACTATAAGTTTACATTGCTACATAATAAGCAACTGCGATAAAATCCTTAACACTGAAAATCCCATCTCTTGCATTAGGGAACAAGCCCTTAACCCAAGTGAGCAATACATTTTTTCATTGCTCACGTAGTGGTAGTTTCTTCAGAACCTGCACTTCCAACAAAGCAAGAACTGGGTGGGTCGGAACACATTCCAGGAAGAAGGTAAATATTAATTGGCCTTCCTAGGTGCCAGTGCATCACTTGGTAGTACTTGCTAGCTTTCTTCACATGCTCTTACACATGCCCTACCAGATGAGCAGTATTGACTGTGTCAGCATTCTAGAGAAGTTCAGGGATAAATTTATTTTGTTGACAAGCAGCACATTAGAATTGACTTACCTATAACTGACTGTGCCATGGCATCAGTATGAGAATAATATTTTTAAGTTGCTCCAAACCTGTGCTAAACACTGGTTGCAGAAGTGAAAGAGTGTTTTGACAAGTGCTTTTATTTTGAAAACAGATCTTGGAGTGCCACAGGATCGTGCAGGCCCATCAAGTGAGACTGCACTGGAGAACTGGGAAAAATCTCAAGGAAGAAAGAGTTTAACACAGTACTCTAAGCTCAGTTTAGATCGCAGGGGGCTTGAGAGAAAAAACAAAATAGAAAGTGTACCTGCATGGGCCCAAGCTCAGCCATCCACATCTACTGCCCAGGAAGCCCAGGAAGCCAGTGGTTCTTCTGCAGCAAACAGACTGAGTGGTTTGTCACTTCTGCGACACAGAAAAGCACCTTTTAGGTCCAGAGGGAAAAATTCTTGTTCTGTCCAGCACTTAACCACAGAAGATTCTCATGAAGAAATGGAAGAAAGTAAAGATGCCAGTTGGTTGGAGAAAGAAAGTCTTTGTTTAAATGTTAATCACTTTCCTAGTACTCTGAGTCACAGCCACAGATCTAGCGAAATACCCTTAGCACAAGGTGAACAGCATAGCTTGGAAGAAAGCATAAACGATAAAACCACTTCATCAAGGCGGGGAAAACCTTCCCATTGGCTTTTAAACAAGAAAAAGTTATCAGGCAAAGCTACTGAACCACAAAGGAGAAAGTCTAGGGGCACTGACAAGCTGCACCCTCCAGATGGGAATTATATGGCTACTGGAGGTCCTTCTGACTTTGACTGCAGACCAGCTACTTCGTCACTTCCGAAGACCTGGTCTGTGCTTCCCATGCCTTTACCACATTCCACACCTAACAGTCAAGGATCCTTAACTCAGTCTGCACAGGGACCCGAGTCATCAACAAACAGGAACTCAACAACAGTTTCTCCACAAACACCAGATTTGGATGGTAGTTCAAAGTTCTCTATGCATACACCCTTGTGTCTTTTACACCATAGGGACTCCCTTTCTCCTCCAGGAAACTTTGATTTTTCAGTGTCCTTTCACAGCGTACCTGAAAACRCCGGTTTACAGGAAGACAGCTTTAACACTTCATCTCCCAGTGGTGCCTCAGTGAACGTGACAAGCTTACAAAATTCACTTAGTTCTTTATCTCTAGATTCTCCCAGCCCATCTGGGTTTCAGACGAGGTTCACCCTGAATTCCCCAGCATCTTCCACCTTGTACAACCAGTTGCCATTTGCTTTGCTGGCAGTGTATGCTTTACAAAATCTAAATAGTAGCATGAGCAACACAACAGTCTCTCAGTCAGCAAGCTCAGAGGAAGCAAGGAAGCCACAGGCAGATCAAGAGAAACTTAAACAACTACAGGAAAGGTGAGAAATATTAAATATATGTGCAAACACTTATATAAACACCTGGCAACTAGAACAAATGCATCTTTCAAATTTTCTTTACAGTGAGAAGCAAGAAGTTGATTGTTCTTCCAGTTAAATTTCAGTTTTTATCATTCGTGACAACCAGGATTTCTAGTAATATTGGCATGCTAACATTAAAGTAATTACAGGTGTCATTCTCTTAGCAATACTGAGAACTACTGAATGAGAAGATGGAATTTGCCTCCCCATACTACTTCTAGAAATCACACACACTTGCTTTATTCTTGCAAATATTGCTAAAGCTGCTTGTGCAGTGACATGAGGGGTACATGCGGCTTTATTGTTAATGAGGTGGAGGCCAAAAATGGATTCCACAAGGTGACAGATTCCACAAGGTGCGTCCATGAAGTGCGTCATCAGCCCTAGTATATGTGGTGATGAGAAATGGTCATAAAGCTTGCCACTTCATTCCTCTACAGGGCTTGCTTTGCAGTATGGCCTGTTTAACAAGCACTAGCCCTTTTAAGCTCAACTTMATGTATTTCATCCACAATCAAAAGTTCAAGTCTTCAGAAGCACTGCTTTGTTTGTCAAAGTTATTTTTAAGTGTTTACTTGTCCTGTTTTCACTCTGTGGTCTAAATAGAGTAATTTCTTTGACTGCAGAGACTTTCAAATAAAGGCAGAATGAGGGAGCAATAGGTTTCCCTGCTGCTCGCTGTAATCAGCAAGCTGCTCACTGTCTCGAGAAACTGCTTAAACAATTAGATTCAGAGATGTTATCAAGGAGAAACATTTCTGTCCTCGGCTTCCTCAGAAATAAACCAACTGTCTCCATTCAGAAGTTCGTCACTTATCTCAGACAACTTAGCAATCAGCCAGACAGAGCTTCCATACTGAAGGAAGCTGTATTTTTTTTTTTTTTGAGTTACAGAAAGGCTGGGCTACAGGTGCCCTACTATGCTTAGAGTTAACATTTGGAATGAAACCTAGCTACAGGTTTTTCCAGCTTTACCCTAAAAGGTTGTAAATACTCACATGGTCAGGTCTGCAGCCTACCAGCCAAAAGCCTTTTCCTTCCTTCCCAATATAAACCATTTGGGCAAATCAAACCACAGCTAGCAGGGGATGGAAAAGAACAGGGGGGAAATTCAATCTATTGGAGGGGATAATGTAGAGAATCTGGTTTTCTGAAGTGCCTTGAGTAGCATGGAGGGCTATTAGTAGAGGGTCATAATTAAGGACCAAGAAGCAGCTGTATGTGGCTGGGGCTTAAATGCATTAAGAAGGGAGAACAATAATTATTCATCCTTCTTTGTATTCAGAATTTTTATTATTTTACCAAATTAGTTAATCTAGAGTTAAATTCAAGGCTCATGTTTTTGTTTAGAAGCTTGCTTACCAAGAAAAAAATTAGACTTCATACAAAAAGCATTAAATTACAATCAGTAAGTAGTTTGCTTGCTTTCATCTCTTATCCATAATTAGAAAGTCTTTAATATGCTTATATAATACTACTTTCCCCCCACACTTGATTAAAATATCACTCTTAATCAGAAATAACTCTCCCAGCACCACACAAAATTTAGAAAAGTTTCTAGAAAGAAAACCACATAGGACAAAGATGCATGCAATAGCATCACAGCTTCAGGAGGAAACGCTCTGCAGCAGCATGTTCCTCATATGCTTCAGAGGCGGTTCAGACACCCTAATTCCTGTATAATATATGGCTATATAATTCTCAACATAGGTGCTGATTACACAAAAGCATAGAGGAGATTTAAAGACTACAAGGTTTTTCCCTTGAACAATTGTTAAAGAAACAATAATCCTGGACAGTTGCATATTATATTTGTGGGTCACCATCCTGCTGTAAGAGTCCCGAACAAAATCTCCCTAAATCTTGGATCATTAGTGCAAAGATACTGTCTCTCATTCGACTGTCAGCCTGTGCTGAGAGAAGTTTTTGCTTTCTTCTATTATATCTTAATAGTCTCCTAGCTGAAGATTCAGGAGAAGAAGGGGATCGGTGTCGTATATGTCAGATTGCTGGAGGTTCTCCTACCAATGCACTGCTAGAGCCATGTGGCTGTGTGGGAAGCTTGCAGTTTGTTCACGAGAAATGTCTCAAGAAATGGCTCGAAACCAAAATAAAGTCAGGTAAGTGAGAGAAAGAAACCCAGAAGATGTGAAGCGTTCTGTTGAGATGCCTGTGCCAGATTTACCTCCCAACTAATTCCAACATGCTAATAGAGTTAAACCAGGTGAAGTCTTAAATAGTCTTTGAATAAATTCAAACTCATCACCTGATCAGTACTGTAGCATTTTCATGTAGCACAAGCATACAGTGCAATAACCATAGAAATTAATGTCCTTGATTAGGCTTCTGGCTTGTAGTCAGCAGATCACCATAACAAGAAATCTTAATTTTCTAGTGCATAGTTTGGATTAAAGCTGTCTCCTATATGCAGTGCTGAAAGAATTAATGAGCCAGTCTTCACCAACTCGTAGCAGTATCAGGTGAATGGCAAGCTTTATTTAGGGGCCATAAACCACAGATGCAAAACTATTAGGCAAGAGAAAATTTCAATGAGAAATCCATGAAATGGAATACATGAACTGTGCTGAGAGTTCAGATGGGGCAAAGAAGAAATACAGGCAGAATGAATTTCAGCATTCAGGAGAGCTACTTCCACCTACAGAAGAGGCCCGTTCGTTACTGCTGTCTAAACTTTGCTTTCCCTCTCACCTGCCGGCGCATTTTATTTATTTATTTTTGCCTGTAAGGACTGCTCTCGCAACACCATTTCTATTTCCRTTCTGAGGGAAAGAGTAGCAGTGCTGTTCAGTTGTTCTAAGTTAAAATTCCGAGCCAAGGAGCTRCATGTTTTCACGATATGGAACACATCATCAAGAGACTGAAGGCAATCACAATGCAATTTGATACTTCAGATTTAAATACATTTTGGCAGTGTTAGGCATTTTAATGTACTATGACTTCAGAAATCCTCACTTGCATTCTAAAATTTTAAGCTTACTACCCTTAAGTATTCAAAAACACAAAGAAAAAGACCACCATCAAATAATAACCAGAGAATTATCCTCCAAAAAGGCACTACGTAGGTACATGATATACACACACACACTAACCTACTGTTCATTGTGTAAAATTCTTGTCCTGCACGTGGGAAGATAATGGCTTATGCCAGTTTTGTTTCTTCAATCTTAAAAGGCAGATGATGTATCAGTTAAATCCTGTGTACTTGGTCCTCAGCCAGGCCTTGTTCATTTAAATTCCTGGCTTGCCCCCAACTTGGGGAAGTGAGTCACATTTCCCAATCCTTCCCCAAATCCTGTCCTTGCAGAATAATTTAAACTTCCCCTTGTGCTACTTGAAAACAGGGAAGCAATCCTGTTTGGAGAGAGTTTCTTAGGTTAATCTAGGAGCCAGATTGCTTAACCACCTTCCCCCCCCCCCATGTTAAACAATGACAGAACATTGAAGGTAGCCCTCCCCCCTAAACTACATGGTGCATGTAGTTTAAAGTCAAACATTTAATTCTTTGTCTTAATGCAGGTGCTGATCTGGGAGCAGTAAAGACATGCGAGCTGTGTAAGCAGACCCTAAAACTTGATCTGGATGATTTTAATGTGAATGAGTATTACAGAAACCACCACTACTTAGAAGTAAGAAACTGCCTCTCTTCAGATAAGAGCCTATAATCCTATTTTGGTATTGCTGCCTTGCAGACTTTCAGTATGTAGTGAAATATCAGCATCCCCTGAAACCTGCTAAACTGTGAGGAAGAGATATGCTTACTTATGCAGATTTCAAAAAATGCATAAAGGCCTTATTTATCTGAGACTCAAATTGTATAATCCCAAGGCATTTCATGGAACTGCCCAGTATCTGGAGGCTTTGCATAAAGAAAACCTGTAATCAACTGTGGCAATGGAAAAATTCCTGTTTGTTATGTAGATACAACAGCTGATTGAGGGAGAGCAGCCAAGGATTTCATTGTTTGTCCTTCACAATGTTATGTAAGAGGAAAAATTCAGCTAACCAAGTGACACAAGAATTGAGCATTTCTCTATTAGGCTTTTTGTTCGTTCTAATAAGCATTTTAAATGAAGTAGTACAGGCATAAGGGTCAAAAAAAATTGAAACCAAGTTTAACAGCCTATCCTATTTTCTGGAAAAAAATCATCATAGCAAAGTCAGAGCTACTGATTTTTATTATAGGCCGATAGTAGAGCTGAAGAAAGAGATGAACATACCTAGCAATCAAAGAAAGTTTTCATAGAAAAAAAAAGATTTTGAAACACTATTCTTGATTCTTCTAAATCCTAAAAGCACATATCCTATTGCTTCATTGTTATTTATGTATTACCAAAATCCTTGAGAATTCAAGTCACAGACAGGACCCAACACAGTAAGCATGATCTCATGACACTGCCTTTTAGCAGATTGCAATAGAATTTCCCTGGAAGTCTTGCAGATTTCTTGGTTGCCCCCTGAATTCCAGGTAGGATGCAGTGCCCAGTTCTGCCCAGCTTTTATAGCGCTAGCAGTCACATAGCAAGGCTCACGCAGGAGGCAGACACAGGCAGTTTGGTTTGAGAGCTTTGAAGTACTTTGCAGAGCATGAGCTGATGTCTCTATCAGCTTCTAGTTTGATAATTCAGCACATCATGCTTACACATTCCACACAAGGAGAAACTGCAAGGCTCATGTTTAACCCCAGGCATTTAAAAAAAAGAAAAAGATGAATTGCAAGGATGAGTAATTGCTAGAACATTTAAAGTAATTAAGCTTATAGGTTGTGTTGCTTCCTTGAGGTGTTTTATATCGTGTTATACTGCAGTACTTTTAAGGTATTATTTGTGATGCATTTTTAGTGATGCCAGAAGCATCTAAAACATATGGTTAGGTGCCCTTTTAGCATTTTTGCTCATCTAAATAAATAATTCAATGTGCTAGAGTCTTCCCTATGAACTAGTAGAAGAKGCACAATCTGGTAGAAGTGCCTTTCTCATATTATTTGCAGTATTTCCCCATCTGCATCCCTTCAGGCCTTACTTAGACATAAAGAAAGTAAATGATTTCCCAGAATGCTTTGACAGAGTTGTTCACCAGCAAACTTTTTTCTAGATGATTGATCTGCTACTGTGCTGTAAACTGTATATGAACATAAAGCCTTTTACTTAGACTGGGATTATCAGACACTCATTGAAAACCTAAAGGAGAAAAACATCATGGCTTGAGAAAGGAAATTTCTGGAAGGAATATAGAATCCTAGGGGGAAAAAAGTGGAAAAAGATGCAACTAATCTACAAGGAGGAGAAAGAGCTGAAACCAAGTATTTTATGAAAGCACTGAGGAGAAGAACGAATCCAAACTAACAGGCAATGCTGCTGCCATTCCGACCGCTCCAGCCTCTTCTTGCCTACTATTTTTTAGAACATAAGGCTTTTCAGGAATCCTCTTAGTAACTTTGCAATAGTATTCAAGCAAGCTAGGATTTACATTCAGCAGCCAGCATATGCACTCTGAAAGCAGACGCACACACTTGAGCCAACCTTTTCCTCTTTTTTTTTTTTAAAATCATTTTCCCTCTCCCTCACATATGTATGTGCAACATTTTTTGTCTCTAATTTGTCAGTGGAATACAGCCATCTCCAGCTTGGAATCGTCACTGCTCTTCCAAGCCAACAATATTGTACAGTGTATTTACAAGGGAAATAAATTAATTTCTATAGTTCTTTTCACTATTGGCAGCTGGCACATTAATTACAGAGACAAATGAAAACAAAACACTTGTTTGTCAAGAGGGAGGCAAAATAAGTGTTTTGTCTTGCAAGTTGATTAAATTCACTATTAAAAAAAAATCAATTACAGCTATAGAGTGGAAATTTGGGGAGGATGAATCAATTACCCTCAATGGAAAGTGGCCAGGATGCTGTGTTTTAATTTATAGCAGTTAGAAGTACCACGAAACCTTCAGTACTTACAGATGGTCAAGCTCTCTGGCCACGTMTCTTTGAGAGGTAAGATTTCCAGAAGTGTTTTATCCCCATTTCACAATTCCAGAAGAAGCGTAGCACTATATAGCTCTGCACCTGYGTCTGCACAGTGCCAGGATTTTCCTTCCATCTAAGGAAGCAGAAAATTGACTCCTAATTTTTCATATTAGTGACGATTATCTACAATATAGCTAATCCGGATGAAAAAAGAAAGCAGCCACCACCACCCCCAAAGCCACACACATAAGACAGCTCTGGATAACACATGTTTGATTACACCATCCTTTTTTCCTTTAATTGTTGCTTGGTATTTGCTGTTGCTTGTGTCAAATCAGTAATTTCCAGTTGCTATCTTCCTGATGAGCTATTATCTTTAGCTCTCCAGAGCTAAGGATAATATAATTATTATATTATCTTTAGCTCTCCAGAATAAGTCACATTTCTCTACTGTAACTTATCCTACTGTATCACAGGTGGGATATTAATACAATATTGAATCCTGTGGTCTGTTTTAGGCAGGAGGTTAGACTAAATGTTTGTGTTTTTAATATCTAGGTCCTAAACTTCCATGTTTTCCTTAAAGATAGTAGCTGTCAGTCAGGTAGTGCAGCCTGCAAAGCACTTACCTCTCATTCAGGCTTAGCACAGGTCACCCATTTCTCAGTCATAAACAAAACAATATTGAACCCAAGGATGTATTGGACCCAAAGCTGTATAGTTTATTCCAGCCACTAGGTTGGATATCCCCATTAAAATATAGCCTGAGACTTTAATTTTAGCAGCTGTGTAGTTCTATTTGTCAAGGTCATTAGAAATCACCTGGAGTGAAAAATACTATTTGCTTTGCTTTTAAACATACAGGCAGAGAATGAACTAACAGATCTATATCTTGTGCTGCTTTTTCATGTTTGGGATCTCATGAGACAAAACTACAACCCAACCTCCAGAAACAGGGTAAGAAAAATAAGGAAGACAACACTGTTACCTTAAAGTTATGGCCCATGCTCCCTTCTGTATGCAGCACAGCTCACTACCAAGCTCTACACTCCCCCCCTCCCTGAGAACCTTCCTTTTTAAAGGTCAGCCAATAGATACGGAGCTGCTTCTTTCAGGTGTTGTCTATAATCACATCTGATACTCCTTGATCTYGTAATACAAGGTCATTAATCTCCTAGTCTTCCAGTTGCTTAAATAAACAACGCCAGCTATCTTCTGAATGTTTGTTAGCAACTTCACAAAAGTCTATTGTGCTTACTCTTCCTGAAATAGATTTTTTTCTAATAAATCAAATCTTAAGATTTCAATTCTAGTAGTAAGATGCAATGGAGGCACTGTATAAGGTGACTATTAGGCATTGCAAAAAAATGGCAGTCTAGAAGAATTACATGACATTTATTGATAAGGGCAAAGTTGTCACATTCATCCTTTTCCCAGCACCACTGCAGTGATGTAGCAGCAGATACGCTAAGGGTGAGGCTTCCTTTGAGCATGTTTGAGTACAGCAGTATTGACAAGAAGTGAGACTAGGATAGCTCTACTTCTTAATCACCAGAGATGCATTTACAGCAGCTGTGAGCCACTTTTATCCTGTCTGTTCTTTCTCTCTCCTTCAACAACTTCATGGAGGTGGGGAAATAAGGAATAGGCACCACTGAAAAAAATCCCTTGGCTAAGTGACTTTCAAGCATAAATCCCGTGCACTTCTATGGATACTTCTAATTCAGTCTATAGGATAGTGCCTAGCAATCATATTCCCTGGCCCAAGACTTAAACTAAATGCCTGGAGTGACATTTTTGATGTTTATAAATTCATAGAGCATAGCTTCACTGGAGCGATATGAATGCAGTTGAGTTGGTCTAAGAAAGAAGGTCACATCTCTTCACACCGTGGCTTGCTGCTTGTAGCTAGTCTAAGCACTGTTTTGTCGGTCATCTTAAAACCGTAGGAAGGGCGGCTTCCACTCCTGACTGTTTTGAAGCTGAGAGGAATTTTAATTAAAAGCCAGTCTATGGGATACTGGATTCTTAAGGTTTCTTTATAATCTTGCCATTTTGTCCACTCCAGTGTAAAATAATACTGACAATTAGTGGGTTTTCCTGGCTTAATTATAGCTCTGTTGTTAAAAACAAGACACTTTGAAATCAAATAAAACAACAAAACAACCAAGCTCACAGCTTTCCCCTGAGAAATATTTAGTCCAAATGAGAAATGAAAAAGTAAAATAACATTTGCAGATGTAGTCCATATACCACCTGGCTGTGGTGCATCAGAACCTGGCAGTTCCACAAGCTACCTCTTATTTTGAGTATCTATCATATTAAATCATTTTAAAATGTTTTGCATTGCCCATTCTAAAAGTCAAAAGGAGCCCCAGAGCTAGTCCAAGTTAGTGAAGAATTTTCCACCACCAAAACTTACGGAAAAGTGATGGTGGTGGGTTAATCTCAGCAACCTCAGACTTTCCCAGTAAGATGTCAACATCTAAACCAGCTGGCTGTGTTCTTGTTATAGTCTGTGCAGAGACAAATGCAAGTTTGGGATATGATTCATTTGACTTTGGGAGAGATGCCTTACACTGGCATCTTTCCCGTGAGCCTTGCTGTAGAAGACCTTGTCTTTCTCTCTGGATTATAAAGGAATGACTAGGTTATATATTAATAACTACATTGCAGAAACAAAGTGGAGCAAATGGGTCAGAGTCAAGATGCTTCATGCCGGTTACTGAAGGAGGGGACCAAAAATCCCTGGCAAAACAGTAGGGAAAATTTTCAGCTTCTGAAAATCTGGGCCCAGATGTGACATAGCAACAGGGGAGGGAGTTAGGTATAGAATCTATTTTTGGGGTATGTCTGTGTGGCACAGTGCAAGTAGCAGGATAGAAATACTGATTCTGGTGATGCAGCCTAGCATTACATGGTCAGATGTGCTCTGTATTAATCTAACTCTTGCTTTCAGATAATCCCAACTCATCTAGTCTGGGCTATTCGCTCCCAACTGAGGACAAGTGATACAGAATGCTGAACATTTTCATTTACTATAATTTTGCTAAAGCCCTGAGCCATTTAAATGACAGGTTCACAGTCTAATGATACACGGTGAGAGGAGTCAGAGGTTACAGATGGCCTTGGCAGGAGCTGTCATAAGCATCAGGCAAACACAAAAAAAAAAAAAAAAAGAAAAAAAAAACACTTTCAAACAACCACTTCAGAAAGAATACTTAATTAAAACACAAGCCCATGGGAGTAGTTTAGCAAAGCTTTTCAAAATCTTTCATTAGTTAGCCATTCAAATATTTTGATAAAGAATCATGTACATTCATTTCTGAAAAATGTCTGTCTGTTACATCAGCCTGCTTGGTGTAAATAGACCATCATAGTAAAATGAAATGAGCAATCCAGCAAAGGTGGCACAGAGGTATAACAGGCTGCATCAGTGATGGACAGTTAATAAGTGTTTGATCCCCTTTGTTCAAAGATTTACCATCAGCGCTCTTCTGTTCACATCGTTTAACCTCCCTCCCATGCAGGTCTGCATTAATAGGATTTGGATAGCGAGTAGCTTGAGCGTGGAAATATATGAGCTTCTAGTGAGGTTTTTGAGCTCTGAGAACAGTTCTGCTCCCTCCTCCTATGTCACTCTAAATGTAAAGGGGCTACAGATACTTTCTGTGCTCACGTGACATCTCATGATGAAGAGACAAAAGGCCTTTAGCGGAAACGAGCACACGGAATTGCTTCAGCAATAAGCTGCGGGTTTGCTTCTTGCCTCTTAAAATCTCAGTTCCGACTGGACTTGGAATTTAAAGAGACTAAATCCAGATCCCAAAGTGTCTTGCATGTTGCCGAGAAGAACGTGTCACCCTTAGGTTTCTTTTCAGTAATACTGCTGGAAGTTGGAGGGCAATGAGCATAAAGTCACCATTAAATCAGTATGAATCTCTGAAAGTATAGCAGTTTTTTTGTCATGTGCTAATTTCATTTTTGAAACCAGCAAGTTTCAAAAATAGAATGGAAATCATTAAAAATAAGCCTCAACCTTAGATTTTCATAGTCTGGTGAAATCTAAAATTGATCTTAGGAGTAACTGCTTAAATAAAACAAGTCTTTTAAAAATACAGTAAGATATAGACAGAGTAAAATTTAACAGCAAACCTGTCATATTTGCTTACAAGAAGTCATTTTGATACTAAGAGTCCAAAACTTTATTCAAGAGCTTTACTTTATCTTATTAAGACTCTTGTAATTTCSTCACGCTGTTTTAATTTTTTTAAACATTCGCTACACTATTTCTAGCTACATTAAATTAAATGCATAATCAGTGCTAATATGGGAAAGCTTTATTAATTTTTGTTTCATTTCTTCTAGCACTCAAGACAGCCTAGAGCAGAGGAAAATGAAAGTAAGCTTTGGAGTTTAAAACTCACTTTTATAAAAGTCTTGTTTAATTATTCTCATTAAATATGCAAGCTCTCATGTGTTGGCAAGAGGGACTTAGATATAAAAGAGACCCACATTAAACATCAAAAAAGTAAGAAGAAAAAAATCAGGAAATTCAAGTTGCAGAAATTAGAAAAATTTACATGGTATCAAGTGTACAGTAATGGTATTTAATTGAATTTCTCCACAAAAACAATGAGAAGTTAAAAGAAAAAAAATAGCCTGCAAGCTATATCCCTTGGGCTTTACTTCTTTATATCTTTAGAAGTCTACTGCATTGAAACTACGATGTTACATATTTTGTGTGTTAGAGCTTTTCCTAATTATTTCGTTCAATACAATTTTAAGCTGCCTATACCATCATTTATGAGCTCTTCTGGAACATCCAAAAAGAAGGTTGGTGGTTTACTTGTTAAAGACTTTGTTTAAAAAGGCCTTCGTTTTTATCTAGTTCTGTTTTAACATTGTCGCTGCCTTTTCTTGTYTTTGAACTGATCAGGAAATTCCACATAGCCATCCAGTTTAAGAGAAACACAAACAGCAAGACATTGACATATGCAAAACAGGGCAATGAGTTGGATTTTTTTTTAAGATGTACTCACAAACTGTAAGAAAATGTTTTGCTTTTACTTGCAAAACAATCTTGGATTCTGTGGGTTAGAAAATTGAGTGCTTACTCAGGCAGCTGGGCCCTATGATGTCAAAGAGTTCTTCTACATCAAATACTGAGGAGGAGCCCAAAGCTGTTTTGCAGACTAGATTCACTGTCTGAACAAACAGCAAATGAAAACTAGTCCTTTGAGAAAGTTTGCTGTATTTGGGTTGGGTGTCTCAAGATTCAAGATCTAAAACCATATTATGTCTTTGGATTTTGGTGGTCAGCCCCACTGAGTTCAGAAGGATGTCAGAATAGAAACTGAAGGAGATTGAGCCTCCKACTAAGCAGCAGAAAAAGAAATCCCCTATTTTATTTTTTCTTACCTTATTTGTACGTTCCAGACAGTCCTTTTACAGAAGTGCTATACTTCTCATTAAAAACAAACAAGTCTTCAGCAGTCTTTGTTCTTCAACAAAGACAAAAATCTGAGCCTCTTTTTTTTTTTAATAAATTGTGCCCCCTTTTTCGCACCTTTTCAAACTTCATCTTTTCTTGGAAGCTTTTCCCTAAATTGATCATTACTCATGATAAAGACTGGAAGTCTTCTTCAAATCTATAGTACCTTTAAATTCAAATTATGCTGGAATTCTTTCCATGAACAGACTTTACTGTTTTGTTTTGCTTTTTTAATGAATTAATGAAGAAGAAAAAAACAATTTCAATTGGAAGTTAAAATACTTACCTGAACTGCATATTGCAATCACCTAGTAAATTAGAGATTACATATCTGAGAGTAATACACATTACATTTATCTTTTGCTGTTTAAGTGTAGAACCACTTCCTGCAAAGTTTCTAGTTACCACCTTGACCTTTTAAGTTATACCATATATATTCATGTCAAAGATAATTTTCTTTGTTCCAGTCCCAGTTTTGTAAGGAATATTTAAACCAAGTAAACACCACATTTAGAGAAGTTGTGTAAATATTGATTATGGGCTAACAAGAGATTCACTCACCATTTCTGATATAAATGCCTGCTGAACTGAATTACAGGATAGGAATTCAAAGGCCAATAGGAGGGAATTTTTGTTCCTTTCAAAAGTATCAATGGTAAGGAACATTTTTCTGACAAATAAATCATTTATTATTAACCTTGGGAAGTTATTCCCCAGAGACGTGGCATTGCCATCTTGTGGCTAAGGCAGCCACTTTTCCTTCACCCTCTAAATTCTGTTAAAATGTCATTGTCCAGGATTAGTGAACAGAAAAATGAGAATGTGGATCCTAAATAGATATTTTACTAATGAATGACAGTTATTCGTTGTCTTGTAAATCAGTTTACTGAGAGTATGACTATGAGGTATGAAATCATAATGTGGTTACTGAATAAAAACTTTTCTAAATTTCAACCTTTCAGTTACAGGAAAAATAAAATATATAAACAGTATTGAAAAGACTATTAGCATCTGGAAACAATACTAAATGCCAAGTGAGTTATTTCATTCTAGAGGAAGATTTCAGATCTTATGTTTACAATACATCTAATTTAGCAAACCTTCCAGCTGCAGGGAGTTTAGATTCTTTGCCGAACTTCATTCCAGTTAATGGGTTTTTGCCAAAGGAGGAATCTTTCACTTCTACGAAGTGAGGCTACAGTGACACCTAGTAACTAGTTGGTTAATTACATCTGATCCCTTCTGCGAGCTCCTGCAGGCTCTGTGTGGGGTATTTGCTCCAGATGGGAGAAATGGCTCTTCCAAGCAAAAATTGGCTTTGGCACCAGCATGTACCCTCCATTGTGAGCCAGTGCTGAGAGCCTAAGCAATGAAAAATAACAATTGCTTGCTTATGCTGACTCCCTTCTTAGAATATAAGATTATGCTTAGAAGCATTTTAATTACGTAGTGATACAGAATCACTCCTAAAGACTCAAAGCTTAAAGCAATATCCTTTCATGTTGCTAAGTTCAGTTATTATTTTTCTTGGGATTGTAGAAAGCTATTTTAAGATGTTCTTTCTCCATTTGCAGGTTCTGATTGTGACAGAAACAGATAAAGCATCTCCAGACTTGTAATTCCACCAAGAAGCCTTTATCTTGAATGCTCTTTTCCATGGCTTTATATCCCTTATGTTTTCTCTTGCTTTATACCAAACTAAAACAAGCACGTATATGTCGCACAGTCCTTTTAGTAGTCCCACCACTGTCGTTAAAAAATTCCAAGCAGTGACAGGTAATTACTTTAAAAGAACATAGATCAAGGTAACCAGTAGCAAAATCAATTTGGTAACTATTGATTATGTCCTAAAATGGGCTAGCCTAATTGGAAACACTTGGCTAGTAAGTTCTTAGTGTTTTTTTTTCTTTTATCTTTAAAATCACAAGCTACTGAGATGCCTGTGGTTCCTTTGCTATGTGTTTTTGGGCTACATATGGTACTGACAGTCTGTGATTTTAAGGTTTTGCCTGATGAGAGTTTGAGTTTATGAACAGACATGACCACATACGTATCTTATAACCTAATGGTCCAAAACACTTCTACATTCAGTGCATGCAACAACGAACCACTGTCTTCACCTTGACTAAGACAGATTTTCAGTAAAGTTCTTGAATTTACTTATTAATGTTCTCTTTCTTTGACACCTAGCATAGCCTGAGCAAAAAGAATCTTTGCTTTAGAATGGGAATAATAAAGGCAGAAGAAAACCAGTTAGTTTTTTGTTTGAATTAGAGGATAGCACTGACATAAAAAGAAACTGAATTGAGTCCATGTTAAGAAACCAGAAAATACTGCTGTTGGTTAGAAGGGAAGATAAAAAGGAGACTAAAGGCTTAACTATATAGCAAAAAGCCTGAAGCCTTTGTATCTCAGTGAAAGACTGGATTGATCAGCACAGATTTCCTGTAGGAATTATTTTAAGTTGTGCTTGGATTTGTACATGAGCCTTCTGACTCCTTGTCTTACTAACATTCTTCCTAGCTTCTCAGGCTCAAATGAACTTAAAATATATTACTTCATAAAATATAATTCTTTTTACTGCAGATGATGAGAGATTTTGCAGGAAATTTTGTCAGCTTCCACCCACTTAGTATCCCATGTGCTGCTTGCTCAGACTGTCCTGGTTATTGTCCGTCACTGGGAATGTGATCCACATTCATGGCTATGCTCCCTACTCTCCAAGCTGGTCCTTATATACTACATACTAACTGCGTGGATCAGAAGGTAATTATTAAATATGAACTATATTTTATTACATGACCAATAACCAGTTAGAGTGAAAAGTACCTAGTTAATACTCTTGAACAAAATTACTTACTAAGCAGACACCATTCCCAGAACATTGCATTCCTTTTTATCCAGCAAAGATTAATAACTTCTGAGTCAGACTTMCAGCTGGATTCTGGGAATGAGGAAACAAAGATCTTGTGGTTACTCATTTTGTACAAACTGGTTCTTTTCAGAGTAGCGGTTTTTACCATGGGGTGAAATAAAAACTGCTGCCAACTGCAATTTTACTTTTAAAAGGCAGTGTCCACTAGTCACAACCCGTACACACTGTATGCATTCTGTAGCACTGAGGAATCCTCAGTCTTTGATGTGCTAGAGCTACTGAATGCTTTCTTTTTGCTGAACATCCAACGCTGAATTCTGACCTTCAGAAACACTGCTCTGAATCCACAGAGGACAGATGATTTAACTGTTGAATTCAGAACTGAATTTAGGCAGTTGACCAATTCAGAATTTATAATTTATACCGGTTTGGCACCAGTCTGATTTAGAAGAGCTAGCCTCATTTCTAGAAGTTTATTTGGTATTTTTCTGCCTTAAATCTTACTGAATTTTGATACTTTGTCAGATCTGAATGGAAAAGAGCAGGCTGAGCCCAGAAAGCTCCTCACATACTCACACTTCCAGTTCGTCTTTCTTGCTATGTCTTCCAGTCAAAACATCCGGCGTGCGTGCGGGGGAACCGAGTATGGCATAACCACTACTGAACTAGGTGTCTCAAAAGCTCCCAAATACATCTGAGCACTTCCCCTCCCACATAATCTAGATCTTGGGAGCATCATAGTGCAGGTCTACAAGTATTCAATGCAACTGCTGAACTAGCCCAAAGCCTACACCTGCTTTTAGCTATGGGTGCAAGCTTGAGGGAATTAGTCTGGTAGGGCTAATTCAGCCCACCTACCACCAGAGAGATTGCTKTGTAGATGCTGTGGCTCAGCTAGCTGCCCCAGCCTCCTTTTTTAATCAGTTAAGACAAAAGCCCCCTTAGATCACTGTTTATCTAACCCAGTTTAGAATTAATCATGCCCTGAGCTCCACTGAGTGCATCAAAGAGAACTGACTGAAATGGGAGCCCTAGGCTGCGTGAGCAGTTCAGATGACTTCAGTTACTGGACAAAGCCCACCCTGGAGTCTACCAGTCCACTCATATGGCAAAATACAGTGTTCCCTGCAAAGAGCACTCTAAATATGTTTCTCAAAATAAAAGGGAAGTTCAACTTCAAAAACCATACCACTTCTCTGCAGTGCAGGAGTTGGAGGGGAGCTCACCTGCAGCTCACTAATTTTAGGGCGTCCTAGTTGCCAGCCTCAGAGGTGCTGCCTTCCCTTCTGTCTGATACGTAAGTGGTCAGTAGGGAAATTAAAGGCGATTAAAATAACAAGGCCACTTAGTCTCCTTCTCCAGATAAACCTAGGGCTGAGCCAGACATCATGGAACTTTCTAATGACTCCTTAAAGTGGGTTCATGCAATTCAAGTTTAGGAAAAAAAAAAGATAAAAGAAGACTATTTCCATAAGAGAGAGCCTTTGCTTACTGCAAACTTCTGTTTCCTCCAAAGGTTGCATTTATTTTAAATCAAATGACACACTGAGCTTCACTGGTTAAAATCAGCAGTGCAAATTTTGCTCGGCTTCCTTTTAACAGAAACTGCCTACCTAAATTCAGGTCAGAATAACCTGAAAACATTTACAGTTCCAGAATGAGGATGACTCAAATGTCCTTTCCCTCATTGCAGTATAGTGTCTCTCAGAATTATTTCCACTGCTGTTTGCAATTAAGCAGTATGGCTCCCTCTGACCTTTCTACCAATTCATCAGCTTCTCTTTCACCTCTCAGGTGAAGTGCTCTGCAAAAGATAATAAAAACCTGTCCCTTCAAAGACATTCCTGGTGCTTCTGCTCCTAACAGTCTGCTCTGCGTTTTTCACCAAAGGAAACTGTGGCCACCGCCCCCATAAAATCTTGGGCTTCTGTGGCCGCCCAGTGCAGGCTGCTGGGTGTAACCCAATGCAAAGCTGGGCTCCACAATCCACATGTGAATGAGCAGGAGGGCTCTTAGGTGCTGCCTGCTGAGATTTTCCTTTTGAAATTGCCCCTTAGATGCTTCTCGTAATGTACATGGCAGGAGATACCTCTGCTGGCCCCAGAGGAATCCAACGTGTACAGAGCCGTATCTTGTGTGAAACCGTCCCCGCTCGCTCCCCAGATCTGCAAAGCCTCAGCTGGGAATCTGCTGCGGCCATTTGGGAGTGGGAGACAGGACTCCAGCCAAAAGCTGCGCAGAGGGAAGAGCCTTGGGCTGCATTTCTGCGGCAGCATCCCCACAACGGGGCACTGCTGGAGAGCGGGTCCTCCCAGGGACTCGGCCGTCGCAGACAGGTGTTGAAAACAGCAGAGACACCGCACGCTGTTTCTCCACATGCAAAATAATGGACTTGCAAAGGCCCCAGCTTTTTGGGAAAAAAAGAAACAAATGATACCCAGAGCAAAAAGGAGAAAAACTATACCCAGAAATTAATCCATGCATCCCTCACCTGGGCTGTCCTAGTGCCACCCCTGCTAAAGACAGGTAGTTTTTTACACTAGCTTTAGGTTCAGTAGTTGTTAGAGACACAGGGGAAAAGCAAGTCTTATGTTTTCCAGGGAAATCTAAAAACGAAAGGAAGAAAATAGGTGGGGAAGGAAATTTTATTTCCAAGCGTCTAAAAGGATCTTACAAATCATAGAGAGTAAAAAAATGCAAAACTATATATATAATCTTATATATATATGTATATATATATATATGTATAATTGACAGGGTCCTTTTAAACAATTCTTCACATTATTCTAATGGTGATAAGAGATACCACATAAACATATATGTGCTTTCCCYGTCATCCTGATCACTGCCGACAGAGGCCAGAATTCCTTTTGTACAGAATTTCCCCTGGTTTGTACAGATTTCTGCTCTTGAAACTAAATACGAAGAGAAGAGGAATGAAATTATTCAAGGAAAAACATACAAAAAAAGAGAAAACTCCTTTAAAAAGTGTTATCAGGTTGAGCCGCGGGACCTTTCGCCTCTCCAGGGTGGATAACTCACGCTCTGAGCCCCGGCATCGGGGCTAGACCTTGGGCCTGTCTCAYGTCCCCCCCGAGCTCCCCAGTTGCAGCAGCTCCGCAGCCCAGGCGGGTTTTGCCCTGACCCGGCGCTCCGCGCGCTCCCGAGCAGCCGGGATGGGGCTGTGGCACAGGATGGGCAGCGGGGGCCGCTGCGGCGGCATCTGCACGTTACCAAATACAACCCCCCCTCCAAGGGCCAAGGGACTGGCCGCGTCTGCGGGGGCTCTACCAGGATCCCCGGACACGAGCAGCCGCTGGGCACCCTCCGTGCCGGCCCCGGCACAGAGGAAGCCTCCAGGCCTCCCTCACGGCACCCACCCGGGGCCCCCAAGGGGCCTCGCCGCTCGCTGCCTTCCTCCGCCCCGGTGTAACCAGCGACCACAAACACCCCAGTCATCTCTGTGAAAGACGGTATATATTCAGCACGCASTCGGTACAGAATAGCAAAAAAGCTATTGTTTCCTTTCTTAAAAAAAAAAAAAAAAAAAAAAAAAAAGAACCACCTCCAGGATGCCACCACCACAGCCTCCCTGCCCGGCCTCCCTGCCAGCCCCAGCTCCGCCGGCAGCTCCAGCGGACGCTTGGGACCAGCCACATCCCGGGCGCTGAGCGGCACACGGGGCCGGTTCCCGCTCGACGCCTCAGCCGCGCTCCGAGGGAACCCAAGCTGTGGTGGGGCCAGGCCGCGCGGCCTCGCTCCGCCAGGGTGGACAAGAGGGTCCTGGGGACGGGGCGCCGGGGTCGTGCAGCAGCAGGAGGCGGGCGACGAAGCTGATGGAGGGGGTCGAGGCCCRGCGCTGCTCATGCCCCACTCGCCCAGGGGGAGGCCTTACCTCTGCGCGCGCTGGGGAGGTAGATCAGCTTGGGAGACCTCTTGCCTGCTCAGACAGTGGCTCGTTCCCATGGCGGGGAACGAGTCCCCAGGGCCACCACAAGGCCCCGAACGCCTGCGCTGGCCCTCATGTCCCCGTCCCCCCACCCCGAGCCCCGTTCCCCCCACCCCCGGCCACCGTTAGTCTTGCTGCTCGTTCATCTCCATGTCGGACACCAGGATGTTCTTCTCGGCGGCCTCGCTGGGGTTGGAGGTGGTGCGGCTGTAGCGGGCGCTCTCGAAGGCGCTGCGTTCGGCGCTCCGCCGCCGCCGGTACAGGTATGCGGCAGCACCCAGCAGCGCGCACAGCACCAGTGCCGACAGCACCACCACAGCCACGGCCGTCGTGTTCTCCGGCAGCGCTGCAGCGGGGGCAGGCGCGGTGCTCAGCGGCTCCCAGCCTCGCTCCCGGCACGCGCCGCCACCCGCCGCCCCGTCGGCTTGGCCACCACCTTGGGATGCCACCCGCTGCACGCTGCTCTGGCCCGCCGAGTCCTACACGATGGCCAAGGGGCATCTCCCACCAGCACCCCGGTTCCTCCTGGAATCCCCACTCACCTGACCGGGAAAAGCTGCTCTCCTCAACTGCAAAGGGAATAAAGACGTGGGTGAGTGCGTGGCCACAGCAGCCGTCCCCTCACCCGTTAACACAACACGATGCTCCAGGAGACCCTGCAGCGTCCCCCGGGCTCCGGCGCTCCTTGCCGTCACCTCCTGGGCCCCAGCCCGCCCAGCTGGGGTCCACACCACCGTGTCTCACACCTCTGCACCTGAGCCCACACAGCTCTGCCCATCCCTACTGAACCTTGCCCCAAGCCCCAGAGAGCTTCCTACCCCGGGGAATTTTGCAGATGACGCCCATGGTGACGTTGGTGCAGGAGCCCAGGCGCCACACGCCGTTGCTGCTCTGGATCCAGTAGCAGCTGTTCTGGCTGAGCATGCTGGGCCCCGTGTCGTGCTGGCCCCAGTTGGAGTAGTTGACAGCCGTGTTGTCGTGCCAAACCAAGGTGCCTCCTGGAAAAGAAAGGCGCTGAGCACAGCAAACCGGGCAAGCCCAGAAGAGGCCAGTATCACCCAAGAGGGACCCTAAAACTTCACAGCTCCCTTCATACCTTTGGGGTTGAACGTCATGCCCAGCCAGGCGCCTTTGGATGGGCCCTCATAGGCCTGGAGATGCTCCCACACGAAGACGTTCTCGGTCTCATCCTGGATGGATAGCACCATGCCGCCCACTGCGGAGGGAAGAGGCATCAGGGATGGGCCCATAGGGCCAGACAGCTGCAGTGTTACCCTGCAACCGGCTAGGAGCTTGGGGCACCAAGCACTTCCAGAACTGGGGCCAGGGTGGACAAAGGATTCTTGGGAAGGCAGTGGTCACCCTTGGGGCTGTGTCCATGTACCAGGAACCCAACCTCCACCATTTCTAGGAGTGCATGACCCCCTTTTGGCCAATGCCGCCCCCATGTACCTTTCTGGCACCTCCTCATGGCCTCCTTCTGCCCCAGGGTGATCTCCATGTGGAAGGTGTAGCAGTGGTCCCGGAAGGGGATCCAGGACGAGTCCTCCAGCGACTTGGGGCAGCTGCCGCTGTAACTCCACTTGTGGCTCCGCGGGGTGCCTGGCCGAGGAGACAGAGCCCATAGGGCTCAGCGGGGCTGCCAGGGCCATGGGTCCCCCATCACGGAGCCCGCGGGCACCCTATCCCCACGCACCCATGCCCAGTTTGCAGATGGCACCCTGCAGCTTGGCGTCACAGGCGGCCGTGCGCCATGTGCCATCCACATCCATGTAGGCGCAGCCGGCGGCCTGCCGGGGCTCGCCGTCCTGCCAATTGGCGTAGAAGACGCTCTCCTCCGTGAGCCAGCCGTAGCTGCGGCCACCCTGGCGGGACAGGGCGAGAGGAGAATGTGGGGCGGGGGGGTGGCRGCGCCGCGGGCCACCCCGCGCCTGACCCACTGCGCACCTCGGCGTTGGCCAGCCCGATCCAGAGCGGGGCCCGCAGGCCGTGAGCGGCCTGCGTGAGGAAGGCCTGGCTGTAGGGGTCCAGCACACTGGCCAGGCTGCCGTTGAGGCTCTCGCAGAGCAGCAGGGCCTCGTGCCACCGCAGCGGCTTCTGCAGGATGCGGTAGGTGCTGTTGTGGTAAAAGAGGGGGCCGACGGGCGACGGCAGGGACGGTGTCCGCCGGGGGCTCAGGGACGGGTCTGGGGGCGGCGAGCAAAGAGAGGCGGTCGGAGGAGGCAGAGGGTGGCGCCCCCCCTGTCCTCCCCACGCTGGGGACCATCTGGTGCCCCCCAACGCAAAGGATGGGGCTGAATCCCCCATGGACCCACGTGGCTGAGATGGGATCCCTCATGGACATGAGGAGCACTGGGGACAGGGCCGGCTCCTCCATGAACACATGGACCCAAGCAGATGGGGCTGGATCCCCGATGGACACCCAGACCCACAAGGATGGAGCCCCCAGGGCCCCACGCTAGGGATGAGGCTGCACTCACCACAGCCCCACACACCAGTGCCCACAGAGATGGGGTTGGACCCCCATGGATGCACAGACCACGTGGGCAGGGCCAGACCCCTCCAGGAACCCCACCAGTCAGTTCAAGGATGAGGCCGGATGCAGCAGGGACACACAGACTGCCGCAGCGAAGAGGCTGCMTCCCCCACAGCCTCCAGGATGGGCCCCGGTGCTCCGGGAAGCTCCGCACGCGCAGCAGCCGGCCATGTCCCGCGCGGCACCCCTACCTAAGGGGCGCTGGCAGATGTAGCCGTGCTTCTCCTCCAGGCAGCCACGGTCGTCCCAGCGGCCCGTGAAGAGTGGCGGCAAGCCGTGCCACACCACCACGCAGTCGCTCTGTGCCCGCCGTGGTGTCGTTAGCACCATGCCAGCGGCCACCATCCCCGTCCCGCCGCCACCACCGCTGTCCCCGTCCCGCCACTGCTGTCCCCGTCCTGCTGCCATCATCCCCGTCCCGCCACTGACACCCCCATCTCATTGCTGCCATCCCTGTCCCATTCCTGCCGCTGTCCTCGTCCCGCCACCACCATTCCTGTCCTGCCRACGCCATCCCCTTCCCATCGCCATCATCCCCGTCCCACTGCCACTGCCATCCCCATCCCATCGCGTTTATCCCCTTCCCGCTGCTGCTGTTATCCTCATCCCACCACCACCATTCCCATCCCGCTGCCACTGTCCTCATCCCGCCGTTGCTGTCATTCCCATCCTGGTCCCACTGCCACCATCCCTGTCCTATTGCCACCACCCCTGTCSCGCTGCTGCCAGCATCCTTGTCCTGCCATCGCTGTTCCGATCCCACCACTTCTGTCCCGCTGCCACCATCGTTCCCATCCTGCCATCACCAGCCCTGTCACATTGCCGTCCCCAGCCCATTGTCCCCATTCTGCTGCCACCATCGTTCCCGTCCCGCCACCGCCATCCCCCTCCCACTGTCCCCGTCCTGCCGCCGTCACCCCCCTCCCGCTGCTGTGCCCGGCCACAGCGCCGCTGCTCGCTCACCGGCTTGTCGGTGGTGCCGGTGGCGCCGTAGCCCGAGGGCTCGCCGGGTGCCCAGCTGACGTGCCGCAGCGGCTCCGCTTCCACCCACCGGAACTCCTTCTTGGCCTTGTGCAGTCCGATCCACAGGTCGAAGGAGATGTTGGGCAGCATGGACGTTACAAAGGCTGCAAGCGACGGCAGCGCGGGGCGGCTCAGCGCCAGGCACGCGGCCCTCGCTGCCACCAGCGCCCGGCCCCGGGACACCCACCCTGCTCCAGGTGGTTGGCGATGGTGGCCAGCATGGCGCCCTGGCTCTCGCATGCCTGCTTGGCCTCCGGCCACTTGACGATCTCCGATTTGTCGTGGCCGTTGAAGCTGAAACACTGCACGGCGCCGGGACATGAACAGAGGCAACGCGTGCAGAGGTTTCCCCACCACCTCTGTCTTTCCCGCATCACGTTCCTCACAGGGATGGGGACCTTGCAGCTCGCACCTTGCTGAGGAAGGGGAACCAGCCGCGGGGGCAGCCGCCGCTCGAGGGGCCGGGTGGCGGCGGCAGGGAGGGCCTCACGGCCGTGGCATTGCTCCGCTTGCAGATGTAGGGCAGGGCCGTCAGGCACTTCTGGTCACCCCAGTCCTCTGCGGAGAGGGACAGGGCGGGCACAGCTGCGTCTGAGGGCGCCACAAGACCCTGCCCGCCGCGCAAGGGGCCGCGTGCTGGGTTTGTGCCCTCCAAGTTCCCCATGCCAGGCGCGATGCCAGGGCCAAGCAGGGCGCTTGCCGGAGTGCCCGTACCATGGGTGGCTGCTCACCTCTGCTGGCCGTCATGTAGACACACTTCTTGTCCTTGCTGACGGGCCGTGGCTTGCCCGGCGCCCAGGAAATGAAGTTGAGAAGGGAGCCGTCGGACCACCTGGGAGAGGCAGCGGGATGAGCACGGAGCAGCAGTCGCGCGGCCAAGCTGGGAGCGCGCGGAACTGCTGCCCTGCTCTGGGCGAGAACCCGGCTGGGCTGCAGCATGTGCCACCATGAGCATCCCCCGGCCACCCGCACCATCGGCAGCGCTGCCGGGCAGGGCCAGGAACCCCCGGGACTCCCACTTACTTGAAGCGCCCGTCGTTCTCGTAGGTGTGCAGCCCGATCCACCAGTGCTGCTCCTGGCCCCTGGAGAACTGGCAGAGCCAGGGGGAGACGTGGGCGCTGGGCAGGAGGCAGCGCGGGCACTTCCCACCTGCCCCTGCACCGGAGCTCGCTGCAGAGGCCATGCCTGGCTCCAAGGATCTGCCCTAGCCCTCAGGACTAGCCCCAGCTGGAGCAAACCCACTGTACTCAGAGCCCCGACGCTACGGGGATGGGCCAAACACAGCACGGAAGGAGCCRGATAATCATAACATGGATGAGCCATGGGAAACTGCCTGGAGCAGCCGCCCACCGGCTCCATGGAGGCCCCATCCATCCCCTCCTACCTTCTTGAGGTTCTGGCCCAGGAAATCCAGCTCGGCCTGGTTGTGCACCGAGACGAGCTCGGCCTGGAACCAGGTGCAGATGCGCTGCGCCTGCACCCACGTGGAGTGATGCTCGAAGAACTTGTACTCGGCGTCCTGGTATTTCACCCACTCTTTGCTGCCTGTGGGCAGGGAGGCGCTTGAGACATGGCCCTGCCACACTATGCTCCACGGATGCTGCCACACTGGAAAGAGCTCCCCAGAAGCAGGGAAAGTCGCTCCCGAGCCTTGGCTAGGACGCCTGGACCCCCGTCCCAGCTCCCACACCAGCTACAGCAGCACGTTCCCAATCACGCCCCAGCAGGGAGCTGGATGCCCGCACGGTTTGGAGAGCCCAGGACAGACGATGCCCCGGAAGGGCAAAGCGCACGTGGACGGGCAGAGGGAGAGGGCAGAGCTGGGGCTCCACGAGGGGCTCCTGTCAACGCACCCTGTGTCGTGATCTCCGGCTCCTTCACGTCGGCACCTGCAGAAAGGGAGAGGGTCATGAGCTGGGCTCCTGCCCCAAAAACATGCTCAGAAAGTTGCTACTGCCTCCTAACGGGGCTGCTAACAGGGCTGTAGCATGAACGTTTTGTCCTGGCCTCCCCATGTCCTTATCCAAAATGCCTGGTGCTCTGCTCKCCACGCATCAAAGACACAGCTGATACATCCCCAAAAAGCTCCTGTTAGCCTGTTGGGAAAGAAATCCCTTCCCTAGGCTCAGCATGGGAACATATAGGAAAGCTTAAACATAACCACGTGCTCATTTTAGGGAAAAATCACACACTTGCAGGCATTTTCTAGGCAAGCCGATGGGCACTGGCAGGCAAAAGCTGTGACCCCGCGGCAGCGCTTGGCGGTACCTTTGGGCAGCTTGCAGATCCAGTCCAGCTGGGACTCGCACTGCATCGGCACCCACTGCAGGGAGGCCAGGTCCAGCACGGCGCAGTCGCGGATGTCGTCGTCATCGTAGTTGCTGCGTTCAAAGTTGTGGTAGAAGAACTGGGCACGAGAGAGAGGGGCAGGGTTGGGGCTGATCCAATCTGTGATGGCGGCAAAGCCGGCCCTTGCAACGGGTGTTTTTGCCCATTTGCAGCATGGGTGGGATCTTCCCACTGGAGCAAACGGTGTTGAGCCGTCCCAGGTGGCTGCAAAAGCTGCGTGTGCTGCCCTCGCCACGGCCCCAGAACAGGGCACCGCTCACCCCCAGCCCGTCGCTCCAGCGCCAGCTCCGGTCTCCCGCTGGGTCCCGCCGGTTCAGGCCCATCCAGAACCAGTGCTGCTCGTGGATCTCCGGCTCCGCTTCACTAGAGGAAGCCACAGGGAAGTGGTGAGAATGGCCCAGCCCTCTGATTTGGGCTACATTTACAAAACACAGAATCCCAGAAAGGTTGAGGTTGGAAGGGATCTTTAGAGATCAGCCAGCRCAGTCCCTGCTCCAGCAGGGACACCCAGAGCACGGGGCACCCGGGCGCATCCAGGTGGGTTGGGAGATCTCCAGAGCAGGAGCCTCCATCACCCCTCTGGGCGGCCTGGGCCAGGGCTCTGTCACCATGTCACTTTTCTGGGGAATTGCTTGAGACACCCACTGTCCCCAGGAGCCCTAATGGCAGGAGGCAACACAGGCTCTCTGCTCCACACTTCCTCAGGAGYGGAGCTTCTGAAACCTGGTCTCTGCCCCCAAATCTCCCTGCTTTTTATGCATTTCTATCACGTCCCTCCCAGGAGCAGGGATGTGCTCACCCAAAGATCTTGTTGAGGGTGCTGGCCACAAAGTGCTCCTCCTCGTAGCTGCCCAGGCTGAGCAGCTGGGCACCCAGCTCCCGGCAGAAGTCCTGCGCCGCAATCCATGTCTTCTTCTCTTGGAGCTTGTCGAAGTTAAACACCTGACCAGGGAGAAGAGGCAGCAGAGAGGGCTCAGGACCAGACACAGATCCTGGGCTGAGACTTCCAAGGTGGCGAAAGCCTCGGTGGCGGCAGGGTCTTGCAGGGCATCCTTGCTCCGTCCCAAACGCTCGCACTGAGCTTGGTTCCTACCGTGCACACTGAGCTGGGCGGCTGTGATGCCTCCAGCGGGCCCGGAATCCCATGGGACAATGGATCCCCAGGCTGCTATTCCCACTCTGGATCTGCTTCTCCAGCAGCAGAGCTTCTTGCCCACCCCGGTGCAGCACAAGGCTCTGCACAACCGGAGCTGCCCTGGAGCCTGCCGCTCCCAAGGAAGAGGAGGGGGGAAGAGGGTGCGAAGGCCCCCACGGAGCTCTGTGCCAGGTACCTTGTAGCAGTGGCGTAGTTTGGCGTCAGAGCTCCAGCCCTGGGGGCAGGAGCCGGCCAGGCTGGGCGTGGGGAAGGGCGCCGGCAGCTCGGGGTTCACCGGTGTGCCCAGGTTCTGCCGGCAGATGTACTTGGCCTTGAAGGTGCTGCAGTTCTTCACCTCCCACAGCCCCATGGAGCTGCCAGTGGCCAGGGCCACGCAACCGCCTTTCCCGTAACCTGCAGCACTCGCAGAGACACGGGGGCCTCAGGACCCAGCCACGTGGGCCGCCCTGCCCCGAGCAACATCCCGGCTTGCCCCAGCATCCCCCACCCTGCTGCCACGGGGGCTTCCCGGCCCCCTTCCCCACGGAGTAGCGGTGCCAATGGGCCAGGACGCGCCGTACCGGGCTGGTCCCGGTTCCAGTGGGTGTAGGTGACCTCGTCACCGCTCAGCCAGTGGAAAGCGCCCGTCTCGTTGATGTCCTGCAGGGCCGTCCAGAAGTACTCGCTCTCCCAGCCATAAATGAGGCTGCTCACGTAGGCCTGCTCGAACCTGCCGGGGCAGCCATCCTTAACGAACGCCCGCACTTAACGAACAYGCAGTGCCACACAGCTCCACCAACACCTCACCTGTTGGTGATGGTGACCAGTGTGGAGCCATAGTCGGAGCAGAGCCGCCGCGCGTCGCCATAGGGCACACGGTCCTCGCCCAGCCAGTAGCAGGAGGGGCTGTGCCACTTCCAGCCCTGCAGGAGAGCAGGCCACAGGTGATGCTCCCACGGGGCCCACAGCCACATCCCTCCACGGCCACCGCCACGGCCCCTTCATTGGGAGGTCTCCGGCTGCCCCGGCCCCGCTCGCAGAAGCAACGCGGTGCCTTCGGAAGCAGTGTGCGCAGGGGAGCACAATCCTCTCCTTGTGCCGAGCGGGAGCAGGTCCCGCCGCAGCCGGCTTTAATYACCCGGCGTGTTGATGTTGGAGCCTCTCCGAAGCCAGAGAAACAATAGGGCTCATTCTCTGCCAGGGGCAGGAGGTGGCGGGGGGCCGGCGGGGCCTCGCGCACCCACAGCTCTCCACAAAGGTCCCTCCGGCTGCGCCGCACACGACCTGGGCTGATCCCCTATGATGCTGCCACACGGGTGCCCAGGATGGGAACCCGGGCTCAGAACGGGGTCCCCAGGTCACCCTGAAGGGACCTGTGACAAGCCCAGGGGTTTGGCATCAGCACAACTACCCCACGCAGCCATCTAGAAATGGTCCAGGACGGGACCATCAAGCCCAAATGCTGCCTCCAGGTCTCATTCTGTCCCCAGCCAAGCAGGATCCCGCTGCCTCTGGCACCCAACACAACATCTCTCGGCTTGGCCACGGGGAGCCCACACAGAGCTGCTCTTGGGTCCAAGTGCTGGTCAGTGCAGTCCAGCTGTCCGCAGCCAGAGCCACCGGCAGCCACCCACTCCGTGAGCTCGGTGAGCCCATCCCAGGCCACACTCACCTTCCGGCACCCGTGGTCGTCCTCCTCTTTCTCCTGGCTCACGCGACCGGGCTTTTTGCAGATAGAGGGCAGGGTCTGGTTGCATGGGCTGTCATTCCACCTCCCTTCCTGGACAACGTGGGAAAGAGCTCAGACCCATCCAGCTGGAATCTCCCACTTTCCCAACACAGGTGGGACCTGCAGATTTTCTTCCCCTGCAGCGAATCCCCAGGGCCACCATGCTGGATCCCTCCACCCGCAGCGGCTGGTGGCTTCAAAGCCAACCAAGTTGGGACCAAGCCCGGGCTCCCACGGGATGTCTCCTGCCGCCCTCGGCGTCACTGCCTCTCACCGGGCCCCAGATGGTCACGCAGTCCTCCAGGCTTTCACGGAAGTTGTTGGGCTCGAAAGGATGCCAGTAGGTGAACCTCACCGGTGTSCCGTCCGACCATTCGAAGTTCATCTGCAGCTTGAGGTCATTCAGGCCAATCCACAGCTCTTCCACGTCTGCCGAACGAGGAGGGCAGGGCTGGTTGGAGACCCATTTAGGAGGCAAMCCCCCCCCACCAGGCCCTGGTGAACCCCCCCCAGGAACCGGCTCTCCCCATGCCTCCGGCAAGATGAGATGAGGATGGTGTCCAGCACGGGGCCGGGACAGGGCAGTGTCACTGGCCTGTGTCTGCACAGTGAATTTGCCACCCCACATGGCCATGCCCTGCTCTTCCACGCCGAGCTCAGGCTCGCGCGGGGCTGCTCTCCCAATGACAGGGAGAAGGAGCTCGACTTGCAAGTGGTTACCCTAGCGAGGTGCTGGCAGCGGCCCCATGATAGAAGGCAGGACCCACAGGCTCCGTTCCAGTGAGCTACTGGTTTGAAACCATTCGCTCCAGCTGCATCTCACCATGTTCCCATCCCCATCTGCTCCCGTCCTGGGATCGTGGCCACGTCTCCCTTCCTTCCTACAWCCTCACAAACCTCTGCTCCATCTGCCTTAGCTCCTTTTAGTCCCAGCGCTGAGCAGGGACAAACTGGTGGGGCGCAGGAGCCCAGAGGCTGGCCAGAGAGTTTTGTGTTTTTATGGGAATAGGAAAACCCCAGGCTGCTAACGCCAGGGTGACAGATGTCACGAGCACGGAGCAGAGGGTAACGGTGGAGCTGCTCCCTATAAAGCTCTTCTGGGATCGCGACACGGCTAAGGACGGGCTTAGCAGCAGAGCTTCGCTCTTCCCTCATCCCTGCTGGCCCCGGCCGAGGTCCCACACGGAAACTCCCCAAGTATCAGCCCGGCCCAGACAGATCCCTGATGTGGGAACCTTCAACCCAGACAATTATGACTGGGCACTGATAGAACTGGAAAGAGAAACTTCAGAGGCCTTAAGCATGAGTTCACCGCTAACTTGACCTTCCTGCGGACGACAGTTTAACCAGGAGACTTGCACGTCCCAAAGAGATTTAGCAACAACAAAAGCACCAGCAGCCTCGTCCAGCAAGGTCAGCAGGAGTAGGGAGTTTTTTTCCCCTCTATATTTGCTATTTTTCTTCATTAAGCAAATGGGATTAGCGACTTTTGCAGAGGGGACTGTGCTGTTCTGCTGCCCTTGGAGGAGCTCTGGTGGACACGGAGGCACCGACCCCCTCTGGGCACCAGCCTGGGGACACCACTGTAAGCACCAACTGCAGCATCTACGAGGAGAGACACATTCGGGGCAGGGGTTCCTCGGGGCCAGGGGCCACCTCCCAGGCAGGACCGTCGCACTCCCCATGGCGTCCTAAAGCCCGTGCCAGGAGCCTCACCTTGCTTGACCTGCTTGGTGACAAACTCCAGCTCGGAGAGTGTGTGGATGCTCACGAGGTCGGCACCGCTCCGCAGGCAGGTCTTCTTGGCGTCCTGCCAGCTCTTCTTCTCTCCCACCAGGCGGTAGCAGTTGGACTGGAAGGGCTGCCAGCTGGGCTCGCAGTCCACCTTCACCTCCGACCACGAGTCTGCGGGGACCAGGCCGCCCTAGGGCTCTCCTCCCACCTCCTACCCTTTCCTTGGCCAAGGAAGAGACCCCAGGGACCCCCCGAAAGGACGCGGCCCACTTGGCTCACCGCTGGCGAAGGGGTCGGCAGTGGCATTGGGCTTCTTCTTGCAGACGTAGGGCAGGGCGATGCCGCAGTCGCGGTTCTGCCAGCCCCCGGCCGACTCGGTGCGGATGACGCCGCAGTTCTCCTCGCTGGGGTTGTCGGGCTGGTCTGTGGGGCAGGAAGCCGCGGTGAGCGGCGCGGCACCGAGCAAGCCCCGCCGCCCCCGCGGTATTGCCGGCCTCACCACTCTCCCAGTTGAGGTACTTGAGCGGCGAGTTGTCCGACCACTGCCAGCCACCGTTGATGTCCAAGTCATTGAGGCCGATCCAAAGCGTGGAGCTGTAGCCCGTCAGCAGCCCTGGGGCAACGCGGAGCAAGGAGCTGCTCAGAGCCTCCGGCCGCTGCCGAGTCCCCGTGGACTGAGCATGGTGCCATGAGGCCGCAGTCATGGCCAAGGACGCACATTTCCCCTGCGGTGGCTTCCAGACAGGAGGAACCACGTGCAGGACCTGACCACCTCCTTAACCCACCACCTCCCACTCGCGTCCTCCTGCGGGTTCTGCCATGGGGGTCTCCCCTGCGCCACACAAGGACATCACAGATGGCCATGCGACGGTCTTGGGGGAGACGTGGGCAGGGGGACCCCAGGCTCATCACCCCCGGCATCGCACCGTTGATGTAGGTCTGCTCGTGGATCTCGGTGATGCTCAGCAGGTTGGCTCCTTGTTGCTCGCAGCTGTTCCAGGCCTCCCGCCACGACAGCGTCGACTGGAAGTTGAACTGGTAGCAGCTGTTGGTGAGGTGGTCCTTGTCCCAGAAGGTCTCACAGTCATTGCCTACGAGGACGGAGCAGTGGGGACAGCAAGTGGGTGCCATGGACCCCACAAGAGAATTCCTAGTGTTTGCTCCTCCCGTGTTGGAGGAATCAGTCAGCAGGCTGGGAAAGACAGACCGCGCAGGCTAACAAGCCTGCTGGAGGCTCTRGAGAGGAGCAGATGGCCTTGAATATTGGCTTTCCTCCATCACGAGGGAAAGAAAAGAACAAAACTCAAGAGCTGAGATGTTGAAGAAGCGTCTGGGGCTGCCCCTGACCCTCAGGACACCCCATCCTGCTCTGACAAACACTATGGGGGCTCCCAGGAGGAGGCCCAAGACCAAAGCTGTCACCAAGAGCACGATGGAGGGAAAGTTCTCCGAGATCCCAGGAGCGAAGCAAGCCCAGGTGGGTGGGAAGGTCCAGAAGGGACCAATCTGGGCTCTACCATCCCCGCACTTACTCTTGATAGGGCAGAAGCCCCATCGTTCATCCACGCCGTAGTCCTGGGTTGTGGCGCACCAGAGGTGCCCGTCCTCACGGCCCGTGCTCGTGCACTCGTGGAACCACTGGTTGTCGTACTTGAAGGGGATGGTGCAGGGCTTCCCGTGCGAGTTACCCTGAATGGTGTAAATCTCTGCGGAGAAAGGAGACCCCTCTGGAAGCACCTGCCACGCGTGGGGCAGAGCAGGGATGAGGGACAAGGGCTCCCCGCTCAGGGACGCTGCTGTCCCCAGGACAGCTCCGCTTTCCACGTGCTCTCTGCTGACTTCAGTGGCAGTCGGGGTTGCCCCCAGCACAGCAGGGCCTCGCATCACATTTTAGGTCTGATCCCCTTACTTCGAGGTGCCACCAAGTGCCACGAAGCCACTAACGGGCTCTGCCTCGTGGGCACGCTGGGGGACTCGCATTGCTCCCACGCACGGGGGGCCCTCGGGCACGGGAGCACCCCGAGGGCAGGAAGCAGCGCGAAGGGGAACCCGCCCGGGCATTACCAGAGTAGGGCATGGAGCAGAGGTCCTCCTCGGTGCCGTACGTGCACCACGGCGAGCCGCGCGTCTGGTCGCCCCTGTCGGAGGCCGCCAGCGAGGAATTGGCCACGCGGGTGCCCAGGCGCTGCGAGAGCTGCTCGCCGAGCCCGCGGCAGCTCCAGCGCATGTTGACGGACTCCAGGTCGCACTCGTAGGTGGCCAGCGGGTGCTGGCCTGCCGTGGCGTTGGCCCCGTGCCATGACACCCCCAGGCACTGCATGGCGCCCACGTTGAAGAGCCGGTTCCTGGAGACCCATTTCCACTGCTGCGTCGGGGCGCTGGCGTTGCAGGCCTTGGAGAGCCTCACCAGCGAGTCCTTGGTATCCAGGCAGCTCTGCAGGCCCGTGTTGTAGATGAGGAAGACTTTGGACTCTGCGTGGCAAGAGGAGAGGAGGAAGGAAATGGTTAGTGCGAGGAGCCCATCACTTGGACATGTACGGGGGGACCCACCAAGAAGGAGGGGAGCGAAGCCCACTGAGGAGGAAGGTCTCCCATCATGGGAATCATTTGGAAAGCACTCTCTGGGGTCTCCTTTGCGTGATACAGACCATCTTGCCATGGGGAGGGAAGGAGAGGAGCAGCCTCCTGCATTTCTTCCCCTCTCTTCCACCCTCATCATCACCACTTCCCAAATTTGCATCCCGACAGGTAGTTACGGATCCCTCCACGGAGCCACATTACCCTCAGCCACTCCAGTCACCAGTGTTTTCTCGACACCCAAACTTGCATTAAAACCATTGGGACATGGAGGTATTGCTTCCCAGAGCCTGGGACAACACCTTTCTCCAGCAGACACCTCACAGCATCACCATTAAAGACACCCAATTTACTCAAGCGCAACTTTTTACATTAAAAAAGTGGCAAACGATGAGACAAGCTGATCAGACCACAGTCCTCACCAACCCGGCGCAGAACCAACACGCGTCCCACAGCGAGGCCCCGGCGAGAGCCGCATTCTCAGAACACTTGTTTTTCCAAAGTGACCCGTTTTTCACCAAAAACATCATGTGAGGCTAAATCCCACTCACGATCCCTTCTATATTTAGCTTTGGTTTGCTTTTCTTTTCTTTTTTCCTGTGTGGTTTTTTTGGTCAAAAAAAAGGGTTTCCATTTCCTCCTCCTCTGAAACTTCACCCCAGGGTTGCTACAGCCTCCGAAGCAACCAGCCCCTCAGGAGATTCGTGATCTTCCTGACTTGTCTCCACAAAACTAAGAGAGAGAAAAAAATAAAAGAAACATCGAAGGAGGAAAGCAGAAGAAGCAGCTTTTTGTTTGCTAGGTCCATCATGGAAATTTTTGTGCTCCTCAACCTGGCTTTAGGACAGAAATGAGCTGAAATTTCTCGGCAGGGATGACACCGGGGACAGCATCGAAGAAACAAAAGAGATGACTGAGCATCTTCCAGTTGGTCCTTGCAATAAATGGGCTCTATGCTGTGTGAAGCGGTCTCCAGAATCTGTCGGCCACCCCACACTTCCCAGCATGTGAATTTCCAATGGAATTTCCTGGTTGGTGCGCGGGATCCAAGAGCCGTGGAGCGAGTTTGCAGGAAAAGTGGTAGGAAGCAGCAGATCCTTCTCAGGGAGAAACATGAGGACGTGGCAAACATGGGAGGAAGATAAGGAGCGGGAAGAGCCCCAGAAGAAGCTGCCGGCTTCCCGGGCAGCAGGAAAAGACCTGACGGCTCCGGCTGCGGCCGCATCAGGGACTCCCATGGTGGAGAATCCCCCCGGGGAGCAGCACCACCTGGAGGGGCAGCGTGTCCAGGTCACCCGCGGACACCTTGGAGCAGCTCCCGCTCCAGAGCGCAGCCTGAGCCGCCTGCCTCCCTGCCCACTCCTTCCCCGGCATTTTGCAACGCACACTCGGAGGATCTGGGCTGAGGTTAAGCCCAAACCCCTTGGGGCAGCCACAGCAACACAAAGCCGACGCGGGTGCATTGAATGGATGCCCGTAAGTGATGCCGGGGTCAGAAATGAGACTCACCAAGCTGGAGAGGAAGGAGTTTCCCGGCCTCCTTCGCACTGTCATCCTGCAAACACGTCCATTTGGGGCTGAACCCCACCCTGAGTGTCCCGACAGCTCCGGGATGCTCCGAGCTTCGTGCACAAAAAGTGCTGCTCTCTCCAGTTTCCCTTGCACGGGCTAACAAATCCCCCCTGGGATGGCCACTAACTGCTCAGTAAACTTTAAATTAATTAAAGACGGGTCCCTTGCAGAGAAACAGCATCTGTGTGGGGTTCTTGGGGGCTCCTAGCAATCCGGGGAATGACAAAAATGTCGATGCGTCACCATCACCGCMCAGGCCAAATTAATTAAGAGGAGCCCTGGCTGCACTTGGAGAAATAGCAGGAATCGCTCGAGCAGCTCGCGGGGGAAGCGCCGTGGCGGCACCGGCCAGGCCCAAGTGCGATGGGAAGCGCCCCAGAAAGGCGGCAGGGAGGCACGAGGCGGTGGGAGCCGCGCTATGCCCGCGCGGAGCTGGCGCCCGCGGACCCACCGTCCGGCTGCCACGAAGGCCGCTTCAGCCGGCGGTAGCTGTACTGCTGAGCAGCCATTTTCTGCTTTTCTGGAGCTTTTTGGCTACAGGTTTCCCAAGGAAAACAAAAAACAACAAAAAAGTCCCGCACGATCTGCAGACATGTGCAGGGAGCCACAGCATCAACCTGTGCTCGGGCTCCGGAGCCGCGTCTCGCAGCAGCAACTTGCCAGCTACACCGAAAAGCTCCTTCTTTTGTGCAGATGCAGCCGGGGCGTGGGGCTCACCGCCCAGCATCCATCCCGGCGGAAAACCAAAGGGAGAAACCTGCGTATTGGGCCCCGTGGGCCACCCGGCGCCGTGTGGCGCCGCCACCATCCGCGGTGCCCCAGCACAGGGTCAGGGCGACAGCTCCGCTCACGGGTCGGGGCAACGGCTCCGCACAGTGACACCCAGAGCAATAAATCTCCGTCCCTTTTCCCTTCCTCTGGCGGCTCTTGCGCAAGCAGCTCATGGGGCTGCAAAGACAGCGGGTCCGCGGGGTCCCCAGTGCCCATCAGGACTAGGTCACTATTAAAAGTCAAAATTGCTTCCCCGCTCTCCTTTTCCTCAATTCCCAATTCATGGGGAATCGGCTACACTGGAGGAGCGCTTTGAACAGCACTCACTGCCCTGCTCACTGCAAGACCGGCCCAGCTGCCTCTTTAGACTGAATCACCCACAGCATTAGGAGTAATAAGCGAAGAGGATGCGGTGCCCAGGTGCAAGGACGCACCCTGGGGAACAAGAGCATGTTTTGCCCAACAGAGTCACGGTCAGGGGTGGCTGCTGAACTCGGCTCCTGGCTGCCGCAGCCAGAGCCAAGACCCTCCAGGCAGCCAAGGCTCTGACCTCCGCCAAAATCTACAGATCCAGGCGCTAGAGGCGGCTGCAGGAGGAGGGCTTGGAAAGTGAGTCACGTTAACCCTGTGGAGCCCGCGGGCTGCCGCAGCCGCCCCGCTGCCCCCAGCACGCCCGCCCCACACGGGCGTTTCTTTCCTGTTCCGAACTCTTCCCAAATTTCTCCCTGCCGAACCCGTCCCAAGTTTCTCCCGCCCACGTGTCCCAACTTGGCGCCAGAGCCGCTCTGGACCCTGCTGCAACATGGAGCCTGCAGACCAAGACGGGCGCCAACAAGACAGGCCGGGGGGGGGGCATTTGTTATTGCTAGGGTAAAAGTCACTCGGTTTTATCTTTAAAAAAAAAAAAAAAAAAAAAAAAAAAA